TTCATGCTAGGCTCAGCCCAGTAACAGAATATTACTTCTTATCAAAGCTTACGTAGCTATGTCTAAGTCAAAAGGTTTAACCAACACTTAGTAGTTACCGCTCAAATTTCAAGCTCCAGTATCAGCAGAACTAATGAAGCCCGTTATAAGTCTTTTACTTATAGCTCTATCGTTTTGTTCACTCATGGCACCGATGGTAAGTCCTGAGGGGGAAGGAACGTGCTGGGCTGTTCTTAGACTGTGGATGAAAGAAAAGCTCTAGGGATCAATGATGATGAGATGTAATCTTTTCATATGGTCCTAGCCAAATGCTGTATCTTCACCTCGAGAGCAACTTGAAGGCCAGACTGCAAAGTGGAGGACCTTCCTTGACCCAAGGCAACGCCCGTATCTTCTGTCTGTAGACAGAATCCATCTAGCACGGCTCTAAACCCTAGCTCTTTGTCTAGTTAAGATACTTCTGCAGTTGGTGTTGGTAACCCAAATAGAGGCCGTTATGAACCCTATGATAAGATCGAACACTATAAAGGTTCTAAGGGGATGTCCGCAGATAATCGACGTAGGAAGATGCCCGATGTAAAGAGGAGTGTACTATATGCCCTGGTAAGAAAAAAGCTATTCGTTATTGGTGGGTGTTAACCCATGGATTGCATCCATGTTTTGCGGGCGGACTCAATTAGTTAGCAAAAACAGCCCTCATAAAAGCAGGCCAGGAGGATCGGTGGGGTGGCTGGTGTATAATAGACCGAGCCTTTACACGGACCCAAGACTTGGGTGTCCCAAGACTTGGGTGTCCCAAGGCTGGACAGTCCAGGCCTAGTGAGCTGTTGTGGCCAGCACGCTTGTTTGAGCATCGAGCTCTTAGCAAGAAAGACTAATCCCTATCTGAGTGCTCGCTTATCTGTTCCCGTAGGGTTTGCCCTATGTTATTCGTAATCAGGAGGGACACATTGGCCTATCTTCCGTAGTGTCCGCGCGTTGTTTGTTCCTTCTGCTTCGTCACGAACAAGCAAACCAAGGAAGGCCTTCCCCGGTGTGCGAGGTTATTTTTCGGTACTCCCGGCCTCTTCTTGAGTCAGACAATGCCTCCATCGCTTCTTCATGATCAGATTGCCCGCATCCCCAGGTGGCCCGAAACAGTCCCAATCTTGCTAGTGACCTGCGACACACGACCCGCATTTGGAAAGAAGTTAGACGAGCAGCACAGAGTGTGCGGTTGAGTCAGTTCTCAAGCATTTCTACCGCCAACTACAGCTATGGGCTGGGCTTGTGTTCTTGAGAAGGGCCATAGGTTGTGCGCGGCGGCTTCAACTTCTTTGTGGTATTTAACACGGAGAACAATCACCCCAAGGCCACCTCACCCAAAGGTCTAAATGACACAGTTTTCGCTACGACTAAGACAACAAGACATGATGCGGAATGGCACGTGTATAGCTCTATGTTCCAACTGACCTATGTCAACCGCTGTGCAATATAAAGGCTCCCCGCCTTGACACTACCTAATACAACAGCTGCTCAAAAAAAGTATTCTATAATATGACCTCAATCCGCAAAATGGGCTCTAGGACCAAATTTCTCGCCTCTATGGGTTTGATCCCGATGGTATGTGCCGTAACAACGTACAAGAGCCCTTTCGCTGAGCAAACCAACCTTTAGACGGACTAAAGTTATCCATGGACATTAGATACTAGCCATCTTTTACCACGGTCAAGACATTCTGGTAGACTAGTCATGGCCTATGTTCGCGCGGGTCTTAAGATTGCTCATCCAGTATCTTTTGGGTTTATTATCAAACAAGCTTCCAGGTGTCATCCACGAACGTAGTGTCGACCTGAACAGAAGCACTCTTCTCCTTAAAGCCAGGGCTATCGCAATATCAACGCTATTGCTATACGTGTAGGCTCATTTAGCTGAGAAGAGCTATGACAAAACTGCGCCAAAGCTTGCATGCAGGTGGTAGTCGAAACCTAAGTGCCTAGTCATGTTGTCATACGGTATACCTTTTTATCACAAAGTTTAACTTCATATGAATGTTAGCCACGCTGCCTGCTGGGATTGATTCGACTGGTCCAAACGTCTGACATTATCACAACCCCCAGTGGTAAAGATATACGACATTTATTCGGCACAGCGCTAAGCCCACTGTATCATAACCAGTCACCGAAACTAAGTGATGAGTGGGCCCTAGGGTTTCCAGGCACCTGATAGACTACGCAACTCACGACGACCCTATTGATCCAAACCAGAAATATTTCTGTTGATAGCAGCTGGGGTCATTGATGTTCTAAACTTTGATATGTCTTTTACTCTTGAACGAACTCAAGCCAACTATCCAAGGCAGAGATATCATCATTAATGATTATTAATCAACCAGTCGACCAAATATATGTCTCACTCCAGGTGATTCCTTGGCGCGAGTGATATTTTATGATCCCTCAACGCCACTTACTACCTGTTTATGGCTACTTACCAATATTTACCGTGTCCGATATCCTTTATCCTCGTTCAATCACCAGATACCCCATGAGTACCCCGGACCTCCCACACCTAGTCGGATTTACAAAAACGGTCAGACATGACCTGCAGGATAAGGACTTGAGCAAGCATGCTGCCTAGTGGCATAAAGCAACTAGACCTATATCAACTGACTCACAAGGTAGGAGATCTGCTGCTCTCAAGGGTAAACCTAGTCTTACTAGGCCCCGAAGTTGTACCAACAACCCCAATGGTGCTATCGAATTCATGGATTTGGAGACAGTCGAACCCGATGGGCTGTATCATTACTTGTCAAAGGTCCTTTCTGAATGATAGGTCATATACAAAAAAGGCTCACTTACTTCTTTGTATCTCACACATGCGAGACCCTGCATTCGAAGCTCCACGGATCCAGACAGTGAATCATAGAATGTCACTCGGTCTGTTGCCGTCATTTCTTGATAATATCAATTTCATATACCCGACTCATGAAGTTATTGATAAAATCTAACTCCCCTGACTTGACTTGACAAATATTACATTCATTGCTAGGCAATGACGTGGTCTATGAGTCCGCTCGACAGCAGGAAAGATCCCACTCAGCGTGTGATTCCTACTACTCAACTTGACTCTATTTGGAAACGCTCAAGTCTTTAAATAATTTTAGATATCAAGCTTTTGAGCTCTTGATGCTATTTCAAAGGTGTTTTTATTTCAAGTTGACAATGGTAGGGTTAGGGTTTAAACTGCTCAAGTACCATATCAGGCAATATCTAGGCACGCGGGAATATGCATTCCTAGCAATCTGGAGCCCCCAAGCCGAGTAATTATCGCTACCCGAGTCTTAATTCTATGTTAGAACTCGAGCGGACTTTATTTGCCGACTACACTACCATAAAAGAAGAATACTCAGCTCGCTTGACTCAAAATTTGGGTCATGGTAGACAAATACCAATATTAAATAAGTGGAGCATGCTTATCTCTGGGCCAAGGATTAACCCGATCAGAAAGTTACCAAGACATAATATCTTATGTCCTCGTCCTAGAAACCTCCTGGAATACACCCATCGATGGCAGAATTCAAAATTCTCTGAATTAACCTAAAATAGCTTATCAGAGGTCTGCCAAAGTCGATGAACATCTCCAGGCCAAACAAATGAAACCTACGAGCTCAAGACGTTGGGGAAGCTAACCTTCACCTAATTTTACTTCACACAAGCAATTCAGGAATGCTTTTAATCCCATCTTGTATGGCGCCCAGAATGATTTTCCACGGCAAAAGCATCTTAAACCCATAGATCAGGTCTTACTTCCAAGTATGAGAGACTATCTGTCGCCTCTATGTTATCTCATACCCGGAACCTTCACCGGCAAAGTTTCTGGTAGCTCGCTTTACCGAGTGATGAGCCGTGATCCAAACGGTAGGGTTCATGCTAGAGGAAATGTCTCAGTGCGAATACAATTTCTAGCTTAGGCAACACTTCCATGTCGAGCATCTCACTCGCACGTGGCGGTTCTATGCTGTGAGATCTTGGGACATTGTACCGTCACACCCCCTGTGTCTGATGTATCGAACCTTAAGCCCATACACATGATACATATAGATAAAGAATATTATCTGGTCAGGCAGTCGAGGCGGTTATTTACCTTAAGAACGAAGCGTAAAGCGCTGTGGCATATGTGCCATGCACACAATCCTTTGGTTCTGTTACTAGCGGGGGCCCGCACCCGAAGAGCTAAAGGTGCCCGCCCGAAACGGTCACAGATTAGATCAGATCAGATCAACTACCGGGCGGGGAGTTATTTAGGGGCCCGATGGCAGGGCCTCATCATATGCATTCTAGTGTTTCGTGATGAATGGTTGCGAAGTTGTTTATACCTCGTGATTTGGAATGTCTAACGCTGGAAACTTTTGCTATTTTGATATCGGGCACATCGTGTACTTTTGCGTATTAGGTTGTAATGTGGTGCGGGGCGTCCCCTACCTGGGTGCAGTAGGAACAGCCGCCATCGAAGGTGTATATTATCTACGATACGTACCATCATCGTACAGAGCTGGGGCTGATAATCGATCAGTTTGGCCTTTAATTTATAATTTCTCGAAATTTTTTTAAAATGAAGCAGGCCAGAATTCTAGTTGGAAGGTAAAATTGGGCTGGCGCTGACATTTGAGGTATGGAATGAGGCGGTAACTATCACTATAAAAAGAAGAGCATCCCAATTACTACCCGACTCCAACTAAGATTTTAATCATCAATCACTGCTGGCAGCCTGAAAGCCATGGGACAATGCGATCTGACATTGCCCCATATCTATTCGAAAGATAAAATTGCCTCGCTTGGTGAGCTGAGATCTCAATCACAGTGCTCGTTACTGTATTTCTTACAAACTACTATGCCTTACTCACCAACCTCAGGTTCTGCTATCTTTACGAATTGAGAAGTTTGGTATGTTGATTTCTTTAGCAGTCCCTTTCCCACTATGATACATACTACCTACGTTTCAAAGCGCTGTATTAGCCCCCATCAACTAGATTGTATACTCTCCGATTTCTCAGTGCTTCCACCCAAATTCTGGGCGGCAATCTCCCAAGGCTTAAGTCTCCTGGGCTTTGTCGCTTCGCTAGGTGGGGCCGTATTCAGCACATTCGGTATCTCTCTAATCCCCGGAATCGGCTGTCCAGTAGTGATAAGCTCGACAATATGGGCGAAAGAGGTTGGATATGGTGCTTCTGGTTTACCGGGCGTAGGAGTGCCTGTTGCGGAATCCGTGTCATTCTCTTCTAGAGATGGCGAAGGTGCACTAGCTGGGAAGTTCTCGCTGTTGACGAGAGGGTTTGTTGTATCGACAGAAGGGCGGCCAAGGATTGAGGCAGAATCTTTTCGTTGATGAGGGTGGGTTATGGCAGCTGCTGCCGAAACTGATGTTGACTCGGCCTCCGTTGAAGGAACTGCTGCTGCTGGTGCTTTCTGGGCCAGCCAAGAGTTAAAGGCATCATAGTCAATCGGGAGGCCGGATTGTCTACAGCAGGTGAAGCCAGAGTTATAAACCAGAATTTAACAACATGGAATGGGGTGGAGTAACGGAGGAAGCGGACTTTGAGTAAAAGAAGCATTTCGCTCGTATGGTCAGTGTAGCCACCTGCTCGGGAGAAGATGCGGTTGACAGAATCGACTGTAGACCAGCCTATTAAAGGGTTTAGAATAATGAATTACGTAGGGACCACCTTGCGGCTTGGTCTTACAATTGGTTGGAGGGGAGGGTGGAAGGGTCTATTTTACTTGGAATTCGCGGTCAGCAGCCCAGTCGTAAGACTGGATAGCCTCGAAGCTGGCGAGGTCAGCAGACTGTATATCTTGTGTAGTCATGTTTTTTCAGCTGAAATAAGAGAGAGTGGACGGTTTGAGGAGAAGGTTAAACAACTAAAGCCGGAGCTTTAAAGAGCTTTCGAGAGCTCTGTATTTGTGCGCGGAGGCGAAGAATAGTACTAGTGCGGTATGCAGCGGGGGGTGGTGTGTGGCGCGAGTGTAAATGTGAGACCGGACGGGGCTAGTTATTACAGTGGTAAACACCGCCACAATTCTAGCTGCGATCGACAAACCAGGCGCGTGGGGTGCCTGTAAATGCTTGACCAGAGATGATGGATGACCGGGTAAGTCAGGCAGCCTGTAGCCCATCTTGTTCATGGGCCTGGAGGAAGATCCCCCGTCTCACCCTCTGACCTCAACCACTTCCCACTACCTTTCCTCCCTCTCTACAACTTCTCATCATCCCCACCATCTCTACGTTTGCCAATAAGCACCGCATCCCTTCTTGCCACCTCACATCCATCTCATTTGTTCCCAACTGGCAACCCTTTCAAGCGAATAGGTGTACTCTTCCATTGTATCTAGATCTCGTGCTAGGGTGGTCGACCAATTCGTCTCCTGAATGTCTGAATTTATAGGGTTTGTTCTCTTTATTTCGAACTTAATCTTTTACTCAATTCAGCTTAATGCGATCATGTCTGGCTAACTCCCCTGTCCGTGATAGCTCCCGCATTTCCCTAATCTCTAGGAGTGACATTCGGTAAGATTCCCTGCTATAAATCAAATCATGGTTCTCTTGCCTGACATGATTCCATTTAGTTACGTCGGTATTCTTCATGATATCAACTCGGAGAAGCATACAGTTGCCTTAGAGCAAGTCGTCTCTCACGGAACAGAAGGAAGGCGTGGCGACCCCACCAAGGAACTCGCTGGATCCGACAATGTCTACGAATATATCGTCTTTCGTGGTGGAGATGTGAAGGATTTGAGAATTGAGGAAGCGGCACAGAAACCTAAACCACCGCCACAGGTGCTTGATGACCCTGCTATTCTTGGAGTAAGTCATTTCCACAACACTTTTCTCAATGCGGGGTCGTTCTAGTTCAAAGTGCACCTCAATGCGGATTTCGTACTTTGTTTCTATTGCTACAGACTTCTCATAGCAAGTGCTTAGCCCTTCGAAGAGTTTTCGTTCTCTCTTTTTTGATCTAAGAGCTAAGCCGTTTCGTAACGTAGACATCAAATCGTCCCCCACCTTACCCAGCCCAGGGTCAGCAAACTGGTCAATACCAGCCGCCTATGCCCTCATATTACTACCCACCCCCACCACAAAACCAAGGTCGCTTTGGTCCGAGCCCATACCAGGCACCTATGTATGGAGCGTATCCCCCACCTCCTGGGCAACAAGGAATGGGCCAGGCTCCTCCTGGAGCTCCGCAGCAGCAACCGCAACCGCCTGTGCCACAGCAGCAGCCCCAACAGCCCCCACAAGTGGCTCAGCAGCAACAGCAACCACCGCAACAGCAACAGGCACCGCAGCAGCAGCAGCAACAGCAGCCTCAGCAACAACAGCAGCCTCAACAGCAAGCACCGCAGCAGCAGGTTGCTAGGCCGCCACCAAACGGACCTGCTACTGGCCGCCAGCAACAGTTTCAGCAGCAGCAGCAATCAGGCGCCACACCTGCACAGCAACAGCCCCAAGGCCCCGCTGCCCAGAAACCGCAAGCTCAAGCTTCCCAGCAATCCGCTCAAGCACCTTCGGTTGACCCCCCAGCGTATGAAGCTACAAACCAGTCTAGTACTTCTGCCCAAGCAATTGCTACCGCTCAGGCATCCAACAAAACCCCAACTGGTCCTAAAAATCACGGTGGAATTGTTCCAGCGCTTCCTTTGCCGGGCATGAGAGCATCGCGTCCCTCAGCTTCCCCCCCCACTCAGTCCAACCAGACCGACAATGATCCATTGAACCAATCCTCTACACCGGCTCAGCCAACTGATACCTCCGCTGCTGTTCAAGACCTAGCCAACAAGGTTAATCAGTTGGCGATGAGAGCTACGCCCCCAGTTACATCCGGAAGCCCACATCCTACGGCCATTGCTAACCCGACTCCTGGAGTTGGAACTTACAACAACTCTCGCCAGCCCGGCATGGGGGGCTTTGTTGCAAACCGTGGTAACAGGGGCAACCGTGGCGGATTTAACAACCAGCAGCCTCGTAAAGTGGAGGTTCCCTCTACAGATTATGATTTCGAGGGTGCCAATGCGAAATTCAATAAGCAGGATCTAGTTAAGGAGGTGATTGCCTCTGCAGATGACGACAAGAAACCGGTTTCAAGTCCTGTCACCAACGGTGCCAATGGAAACGCGGAAGACGACGAAGAAATTATTATTCCCCCAGGCGGTGGGGGGTATTATAACCGTGGCAGCAGCTTCTTCGACAATATCTCGTGCGAGAACAAAGAGCGTGCCGAGGCAAAGGAGGGCGAACGACCAAGGGGTGGAGCTGTTTGGAGGGGCGAGGAACAGAAGAAGAATCTTGAAACCTTTGGTCAAGGAAGCGTTGACGGTGGATCCGGGCATTATGGCCGCGGTGGATGGAATAGGGGCAGAGGCAGAGGTAGAGGCTTCCGTGGAAGAGGGTATGGATACAGAGGGGGGAATAGAGGCTCCTCGCAGCCGCAGGGCAATTCTGTGGCCGGAGCTAATTAAACCAGCCATCAGTGAATAAAAGTCGTCGGATTTGGTGGAATGGAGAAATGACGACGTGGTAAAGAGTTCGTTTTCGGTTTGTATCTTCGACTTTTCGTCAGTCTGTTTGGGGCCGCGTTTTATTCTTGTGTCCTATTATTTTAAAAAAAAATCTCTTACTTTTTTCTTTCTTTCGGCGCGCTTGGGTTTGGACTGGTGGGATATGAAGAAAGCCCAAAGCGATTGAAAATAGTATCAAAAACCAGAAGCTTATATCAATTGTTTTTACCCTTCATATTTTTTCTTTTCCTTTTTCCTTTTCCTTTTGGCTCAAGGGAACACTTGGAGTGAATGATGCAATGAATGGTGGGGGTTTGTTGTGCATGATAGGTTGCTTTTTGATTTGTCCATGATTTTTGTTCTTGTTAGGAATTGCGTACGCGCACGAGTTTTCTGCTTTATCTTTACTTTTTTTCTTTTCCTTTGCCTTAGTTACATACGTACAGGGCGTAATTAGCTGGCGTGTCTGAAAGAGGATGGGGGAGAGCTCGAGAGATACCATTGTAACTGTACTTTTACCAAGGATGTGATTTGGCAGTGGGAGTTGGATGATAAACTAGGTGAGGGGTTTGATTTATGGTGGGCCATGGCTTGTTTAGCATGGGACACCTACAATAAGCCTAATCCACAATTTATACCCACTCCAAACCAAGACCTGTTCTAGAGCATGCGAGTGATAGAGTGTGCATAGAATGGAATACTAGTAAACAGAACTATCGATAGCTAACAAGCTTGTTCACGTGTCTCGAAACCCGAAACCGCAGCAGAGCCCCATCAGCCCTGCCTGCAACCATGGACCTTTCCAACAAAACAAATACCGTATCTATCCACCACCACCACCACCACCATTTCCCATTTCCCATTTCCCATTACCATTACCATTACCATTACCATTACCATCCCAACAAACACCACTAGCTAGCTAGGTAGCTCCAGTCCCGACCTCCCTCCCCAAAACATGGCACCGCAAAAAGCCTACCCCCGCAGCGTCCTAAAGCATATCGTAAAAGCCCACAGCGACCGTAACGTCTCTAAGAATGTCGATGTTCTGATATACCTTGACTACGCGCTTTTCCTGCAGGAGTGAGTTTGCCGCTCCCCCTGTGATAGCAGCAATTGTTGCAGTCTATATTAACAGTGAATGCCCAGGCTCGTCCGTGAAGCTGTAATCCATGCTCAGACTGAGGCCTCCGCCGACGGCGCTACAAGCACAGCTACAAAAAACAAGAAACCCGTGATTTCGGCCAGAGATGTCCGCAAGGTTTCAAAGGTAATATTTGTTAATCCTTCCTAAGCTTCGCGCTAGTTTTACTCGAAACCTTAACTGACAGCTGGCCAATCACGAACGAAGGTCACACTGCGTAAATTCAAGGGCTAAGTGACTGCAGATACCCAAGGGTTTCTTTTTACTCTAGTTTTTTTCTTCTTTTCTTTCTTTTTGTATTTTAAATATTCGAAGGTTAAAACTTCCAAGCTCACTTCATTACCTCATACCCCTTCCAGCATAGTAACTGGCCATATTTATAGAAGTATTTAAATTGACTTGTGATTCTCAAAGTTACTAAATCGGAAATTGCTGGTGTACTTTGTAATTACAGAAGAAGCATGTGTATAGTCATTTCACGAAAAAAAAACATTGATTATTTCAAGCCACGAAAAGAATTCACATAAGTCAACGTTACAGCCAAACAAGAAATAGGACAGAAACAACCAGGGGGAAAAAAGTACAAACAAAATAACAAAGGACTCCTGGCTTCCCTTCGTTTCTCATTTACCATTGCCAATCCTCAGTCTTCCACTAACTCCTACTCACACACTTCCAATCTGTCCAGCCTTCATCCCAACCCTCATAGCAACCATACCACCATTCCATTAATTCCCAAGTGTCCCCTGTACGATCCAGCAAACCCTTCGCGACTAACAGAATACCCAGTACCCATTTAAGAGGAAGCGAGAAAAGAAAACTGGAAAGCGGAATTATGGCAGGCCAAGACAAAGGATTTCAGTCGGGTCTAGTACAAAGTTGTGTTGAATTACGATTGCATTGTGGAAGAATAGGAAAAAGAATTATTTCGATTAACAGCACCCGCCGGACGAAGCCTGCTGGACACCGGTTCCAGGGCCGACAGTGACGGTAGGCTTGTTGTTGGCAGTGGTAGATCCCATCCGTTCCTGTGAGGAGTTAGCTATACACTCCATTAACATCTTATCAGTATTCTGCCGTACCTTGATCTGTCTAGCCATCGTTAGGAAAGCCTGCTCGACGTTCGTGGCGCTCTTGGCGGAAGTCTCCAAGAATGGAATACCAAGACTATCGGCGAATTCCTAATCATAAGACATATCAGCAAATGACTCCTACTTAGCATGTGATACAGGACAGGGGGCCAACCTTTGCCACGGTGTATTCGACTACTTTCTTGTCTGCGATATCGCTCTTGTTACCGACGAGCAGCTTGTTGACACCCTCGGTGGCATAACGGTCGATTTCCTGTAGCCATTGCTTGACGTTGTTGAAGGAGTCTGATAAATGTTAACGAGACCTAACAAAGGTCGGGTTGAATCGGATAAACCTACCCATATCGGTCACGTCAAAAACGACGCAGATCCCGTGCGCCCCTTCAAATGATGTCAGTTTAAATCTTGAAAATGGAGGGAAACGTTTGAGCACATACCTCTGTAGTATGAGGATGTGATGGTCCTGAATCTCTCCTGGCCAGCGGTATCCCACTACAAGTCCAAAAGGACATTTGTCAGCAACCAGGAACCAGTCAGAAATAAAACCCATCAAGAGAACCTACAATTTGGAGTTTGACGGTTTTGCCATCAAGCTCGATGGTGCGGATTTTCTGTTATCAGGAATGGCTAGGTTAGCCCTATGGCATTTTAAACTGGACTGAAACACGGGGAGGTCCAGGACTAACAAAATCGACACCAATAGTGGAGATGTAGCTCTCGGTGTAGGTATCATCCGCGAATCTGAGCAGCAAGCAGGACTTTCCTACACCCGAGTCACCGATGAGGAGAAGCTTAAAGAGGTAATCATATCTACATGAAATGATTCGTCAGTAAGTCACGATAAGAGACAGCTGCCAAGATTAAGTGTTATTGTTGTTTTGACCCGGAAGCCTGCTTGCCCCCGGGTGGGAGCTGATAAAGATAGGCCAACAGGATTGGGGATCATTTTAGGGCAGAGATAAACTCTGTGAACAAGCTCTAGTTAGCAAAATACCGTGAATGAGGGGGATGTCGTGGGGGGTAGAAGGTTTGGGGGGGGGGGGGGGGGCTCTGGGCAGTGATAGTGGGGGAGGCTCCGAGGGGCAAAAGCAAGGGAGACATACTACTCCGGATTCATGATGGCGTTTGGGTATGAAATGTTATTGGGAAGCTTGGTGATGAGAAGCTGGAAACGATGTGAAGATGAAGTTGTGTGGAGACGGAAACAGGAGATGGAGTTGTGGTCAGGAGCTGAAGAGGGGAGGGGGGGAGTGTTAGCAGGTGAGGTTGGTTGCGGTGAGTAGCAGTAGAAATCGGAGGATTCTGGGGGATGGGGGTATGTACCGTGCTGGGTCTTACTACGGAAGCGGATGCACAGGAACGTGTCTCTTGTTGTTTCTAGGAGGAAGAAAGAAGGATGCTCGGCTGAGCGAGGGCTGTTGTTGTAACCGGCGGCGTCAGCGAAACCTCTTGCTGAAGCCTCGCGCGGGGGCTGTGATTGGTGTGCAGTGGCTTGCGCTTGCCTTTTGTAGTTTGGTGTTGTCGTTACCTATGCTGGTCAGGAGCGTGGTATTTATGGACACGAGGTCATCTACTCTACACCAGACCTTCTTATCTCGACGTCATGCTCTTTATTGAATGCAAATAAATATCTCGAAGGGTGTAGGCAGTGATTGTTTGCTATTATTACTTGAACTCGGTCTGATATCCATAGGGCATACAATGGTCATATGGCCGCCTGAACGCACTTAGGTAAATCTTGAACGGTGATAAGCGGTCCTGACCTCGTTTAAAGCAAAGCAAGATAAGTACAAATAACTCGAATGCCCCACATTCTTGATTGATGCAACTTGATATTAAAGCACTTCATATTCGTGAGAAGCTCAGAGTATACACATTCTACACTACTAAGCAACATGCTCCTTCAACCATTCCTTCACAACCGCGGCGTCCCTTTCGACCCAGTTGGCATTTCCCGTGATGCTATCACGGATGACCAAAAGCCCCTTATCGTACCCGTGGTTGTCCTTGTCCTTAAAGAATTCTTCAATATCCGCCATGACTTCTCTGCTCGAGAACTTGTTCAGCGAGTTCTTGAGGAAGCGGTCCAGGACGACCATGTTTCCGGAGAGCTGGGCGTAAACCGTATCCCAGTTCTTCTTAATGAACTCCCACACCGCACGTCTGGCCCGGTGGTTGTTTGAGAGCGAGATGACGGGGGTGTGCTTGTCTTGGATCTTGACCTTGTCCGTGAATGTGAACTCTAAGACCTTTTGGATAAGCTCGGGCGTGTGCACTCGTCCGAGAGAGGACAGGCAGATTTCTCTTCCGTCGACCGTGGTGGTGGAAAGGTACTCCTTCATAACGGCATCGAATTCCTCCTGCCCGCCCTGGGCGATAGCAATACGGAAGACTGCCAAGCGGAGGTTAGGGTGGATCGCAGCCTTGTCCTCTCCGGAAGTGTAGAGCTTGAAACGACGAAGGGCCTCGTCAATTGTTGGTTGATGGCCGACTCCTCCGGCGGTGCTGATGAGCAACGACCTCAGCCGTGCGGTCAAAAAGTCCTCTCCTTCCTTGAACTCCCATCCGATCTTCTCGACGCAGGGAGTCACAAGCTCCGAAGTAAGTTTCTTCAATCCTTCATAAATCTCCGGCTCGCTTTCCGCAAATACAGATTTCAGCTTCCCAAGCTGTGCTTGGAGCTCTGCCCAGACCAGGTAGCTATCCTCACCCTTCAGCCCGGCAAGGAATGAGAGCAATCCGGTGGTCGTTCCGTATCCCGACAACGCCATTGCAGCGGCGTCAGCAATCAGCCCAACTCTGTCAGATACACTGAGCTGTTGCCTGACTTCTCCGAGCTTCGCCAAGCGTTCTGCTGGGTAATTGACTCTGTAGAACCCGTACTGACCATAGTTCAGCTTGTAGAAATCTGTGTTGAGGTCTTTGATGGTCGTCTCTTTGCTGGTGAGAGCATTGACTTTCACTGCTGATTCGGTGTAAGACTGCTCAGTCAACATCAGAGGGATCCACCAAGTGGTCGTGTCCTCCTCAGGCTTGACATCGCCAGTGCTGAGGAAGCGGGATTGTCTGAGGGTGATTTGACCGGGCACTTCCGTAACTGTGACTACAGGGAATCCAATAACCTTGATCCAGTTGCTCTACTCAAAAATTAAGTATTTTGACGCCGAATGATTACGCTGGGAACCTTAATTCTTACCATGAACTCGGATACGTTTGTGCCAGCTTTCTCGCCAAGGGCAGACCACAAGTCCTCGGTCGTGGCATTGCCATAAGCATGCTTCTTCAAGTAGTTTGATACTCCTCCCAAGAATGTCTCAACACCAAGATGGTTGCTCAACATTCCAATTGTACCAGATCCCTAAAAGCACAGTGATTAATTCTTCATTTATTCATTTATTCATAGCTTTTAAAGTAATGACAATAATACCTTCAAGTAACTGATATGGTCAAAGATCTGGTCAATGTCCAAAGCACTTCGTACTGGCACCTCAATTGGGTGCGAACCGCGCAGCGAGTCGAGTTGGAAGGCTGTTTGTAGGGATTCAGTCTAAGCAATGCTGTCAGCGGGGGAACAAACGAGTGATAATGCGTGCCTCTAGAAAGACGACGTACGACAAACTGTCCCCAAACATTCCACTCTACAAAACTGTTAGTAACAGAAATCTAATCTCGCACTTGTGATTATCTATGCACATACCCGGATAAAAGTGATCAATCGCATACCATCCCACCCAGGTAGCAAATCCTTCGTTTAGCCACAGCTCTGACCACCAGTCCATGGTAACAAGATTCCCGAACCATTGGTGTGCAAGTTCTACGAGTCAATCATTAGCGCTGCTGCCGCTAGATGCAGATCAATGATGCCTTTACCATGAGCCACGACATATGCTACTCTGTTCTTGTACCTTGAATCCGAGGTCTTTTCATCAAACAGCACAGCGGTCGTCCTGTAGGTGATGAGCCCCCAGTTCTCCATAGCTCCATGGGACTACAAGCGCATCACCGTCAGCTCCCGCTTCTCACACAATTATAAACCGGGGAAACTTACAAACTCGTGGACGGCCAAAAGATCAACTTTCGGAAGCGGGTAATCCAAATCAAAGATCTACACCACCATTAGCTGCCCTCCCTCTCAACGTCATCCTACGTAGCCACACAAAAACAAACCCCTGAAAAGTAATCCACAATCTTCTTTGCGTTCATGAGCGCAAACCGACCCTGCTCCACCAGACCCTTGGTAGTATAGACTCTAACGGGCAGCTTCCCCCTCCCCTCGTATTCGCGGTCGGTAAAGTCCTCAACGTAGTCGAACTCTCCGCACGCCCATGCAAGAAGCTACATGCACGACAAAACAAATCAGAACCCAAGCTACAGAAACGGACAATCACCTAGAGTGAGACCTAGACCTACATATGTACTCATCTTGGGCACCGTCAAGAAGGAAACCTTCTTTAGGCCGTTTCCGAGCGACTGTGTCTCTTTCACGGGCTGGTTGGACAGCGCGGTGAAGCTCTCGGGAACAGTCATGGCGAAGTCATAGGTAGCTTTAAGGTTCGGCTCGTCGAAGCTGCCCGCACAAAGTGTATCAGCTCTGTCTAGTCTTGTCCGAGCTGGAACCTCAGATGTGATGTGCGACTCCTAACCAAGGGAATGCCTGACGGGCATCGCAAGACTCAAACTGTGTGGAAAACATCCAATCATCCTCTCCCTTCTCATTCTTGTACGCACTACGATAGAATCCCGCCATCTAACCCCACCCCAAATCAGCATCATTCCCCACAAAGGGTGGGGACCGTAGAGTAAAAAAAAAAAAAATGAAATAATAACCTTATGATTAATAGCGCCCGAGAACTTGAGCTCCAGCACCGCCTTCCCGGAGCCCGGGAGCTCCTTTGCAAACGACAACTTTGCTGTCTCAGCCTTTGTATCGTATGCGATATCCGTAACCTTGATATCCTCTAGACCCCGCACACATCAGCATCTTAGCTATCACATCCAGACGTTCATGAAGTATATGTTACCATTGCTACCCTCAACCTTAACAGCCCCCTCACCAATCTTCAACTCCTTCGAATTGAGCGTGATGGAGCTCGTGGCTGTCTTCAGCTCAAGACTGATCTTGACAAGACCATCGTATGTGAACGCTTTGATGTCCAGGTTATGCAGATCGAGGTCGTAGTGAACGGGCTTGACACTGGAGGAGGAGGTTAGGTCTTTGTCCAGAGCTCACTGGGGAATAACGTACTCGGATGGTAGGACGTCTCGGCTTGAAGCTGCAGAAGCCATGCTGGGTGGTTTGTTGTATGTTTGGAGTTTTTTTTATTTATTTATTTATTCAAATTTGCTATTGTTGTGTTTCTGCTGGAGATGAGCTCTGTTGTGGGATGGTGGAGGGAGAGATGCTGCTGATGGTGGGGTGGAAATGCGGGGCTAGTGGTACAAGGCTCTGGCATTAAGTGAATGAACTAAATGGGGTGTTGACTGGTGAGGATCCGTTCACTCACTTAATCCCAGAGCCTTGTAGTAGTGGAGGGGCAGGGCAGGCATTATTGGGAGGCCTCGATGGGGATCGTCGGCGAGTGGCCGAAAGCATGTAATCCTGGCTGACCGAGGAAAAACAGATGCTTTGCTTTACTGGTATCCGCGGTTAGCCGGCTGCTATGATCTTTGTCTACATGCTTTATTTTTGAGAGCGCGGAGATATTGGAGTCGTGGAATAATATATGTTTGCAGCCAAGTATTCGAATTCTACAGACGTCCGGATGGTGATTGTTTACAACTCAAGTCGGATCTCTTGGACTAAGGAGGTACCGTAGAGTAAATGTATTGACCAAGCAAAGGGCTACACAGGCCTCAAGTATTACTGTCTATCTAGTGGTTCTTTTGGTCGGTAAGATAAGATTTAAGAAACCCGGCCAATAATATTAATATCAACTATTTAACCAGTACTATTAGACCAACCCGCAAGTACCTACATGTAGGTACTTCTAGCCTACCAAAGAAAACATGTACAATATATCATTTCTCCTATAACAATACACGCTTTTAATTTCCTAGCCCAATATGGCTATAAATTCGACACATGGCTTTCTCCAGAGGCGTGCTCAGTGTAGCCTATTCTACTAGAAGAGCTTCACCTGGACTTATAACTTGCAGCTTTATATGTATCCATATCTTCGGAAATATTATTAGTAGCCTTGTGGATGCTGATAGTACTGATACTAGTAGTACTGGAAAGTACCGCGCACCATCCCGTCTGGAGAAGAGAAGAAAAAGAAACTCGCCAAGTTCGATCGATCCACAGGCTGTCTGCAAGTAATTGTGCATAGACAGCTGCTCTACCGTCATAGGTTATTTTTGATACCTGCAGCTAGTTCCGTGCTGATACGGAAAAATAGTAGTTAATAAGATTCCATCCGCGCTGCCCGTAAAGTTTCAATCCCAAACATTTTTACTCTAGCAATTGCAATCCAATATTGATTTTCTCGATGGCACAATGTCTGCCTATATAACCTTCACTACGCAATTACTGTTAGTGAAATAATTCCAACGGCTTGATGATTTGATATGAGCACCGGGCGCATCATGGCCTCACCTGCAGGGGGTTGTCCCGACAACCACGCTGCATGCAGTTAGTCAACAGAACTCTCCAGCTCATTCACTCACCTGCATTCTATTTCTCCCTCAACTCACTCTCTCTCTCTTCAACCTCTCTCTCTGAACCTCACTTCACCTCACATCTCTCATCTCCCATCTCCATAACCCCAGACAGCACCATCACCACAATGCTGTCCTCAATCCCTCTCATCGCTCCCCGCGACGTACGTCCCCCTCCCCTCCCCCCCCCCCCCCAATCCAACCCCACTAACCTCCCCCTCCAGGCACACACCCTCTGGTACACCCCCACCAGCACCTTCACCCCCACCGCCCCCCCCTCCTACACCACACACCCCTCCCCCCCGCTCCCCACCTCCCAAAACATCCACCCCTCCTCCCTCCCGCACCGGCAACAGCTCCTCCACCACCGCCGCACCCCCACCATCTCCCCGCTCACACAGCTCACCCTCGACGAGCAATCCCTCCACCAGCGCAAAGTCCACATCCAGCGCTTCGGCGCCACATGGATCAAGCCACCAGGGATCCACAAGACGTACCAGGGCGAGCTAGACGACAAGGCCGAGCGCGAAGAGGCCGAGCGGCAGGCCATGATGGAGGACGACGGCGGTGGGGCGTTCGACGACGAGGACGGCGAGGGCGGGGTGACGCGCGATGAGGCCGGGGAGGAGGGCGAGGAGGTGGATCTGGATGCGGGGATTCCGGAGGTGGATTCGCTGCTGAGTGATGATGACGACGAGCTCAGTGAGGAGGAGGAGGAGGTGGATGCTGAAGACGGGGAGGAGGTGGATCTGGATGCAGAGGTGCCGGAGGCGGATGCGGTGTGGGAGGACTCCGAGGAGGAGGACGAGGATGAAGATGAGGAGGAGGACGAGGAATTCTATGAGGAGGACGAGGAGGAGGAGGAGGAGGAGACGCAGCATACCGGCGGCATTGAGTCCAGCCCTCATCAGGCGATGTACTCGCATGATGAGCACTTTGGACCGCCGGATTCGAGGGTCGAACAGAGGCTTCGTGCCTATCCGCGCCGCTCGCTCGTCAGGAGTGATGATGAGATGGAGGTTGATAGCGACAACTAGGTTGTTGTTGTTGCTCTTGACCTCTGGGAACGATTGGGCTGACGGCTTTTCTTTGTTATCGGGCTGGTGTTCACCGCTCTCTTGGGGCGGTATCTTTCTTCAAGTTAGAAAGCGTAGAGAAAGGTGTCTGTCCTTTCTGCGCTGGGGATATCTTTTAATTAGCTTCCGCATTTTCTTAAGGTAGCATGGGCTGGTTGGTTTTCTTGGGTTTTTCTTTCTTCTCTCATCTCATAAAGGGCGCATCTTCTAGCATTTCTTCATGACATTTTTCCTCCTTCTTTTCTTTACACTTATTTTCTTTAGTTTTTCCTTAGGCATTGGATCTTCACTTGGGGTGCGAATGGCATTACGAAGTCAATGAATATTATTATTGTATGCTTGTCTTTAGTATTAGTTAGCCACATGTAGCTACATGGCTGAATGGACGGATCGAACTGGGTATTTCTATCTTCGTAGGCTACATAAAACCTTCAATCAATCAACTCAGCTAGCAGTCTTCTTCTACTCATCATCCTCCTCCTCCATAAGCTCAGCCAGCTCCCTCTCCTCCTCAATCGTCAAGAGACTCTCGTTCTTCTCTGGCGCCTTCTCCTTCTCCTTGCCCTGCTCGCGCTCCTTCTTTTCCTCAATGGCCTTCAGCAGGTTGTCGTGGCGCAGTGACCATCTCCTGATTGTGCCGTCGATGGACACACTCACGACCGTGTCCTGCTTGCTGCCCACGATTGCGAGCGCCATCACGTCCTCGGAGTGACCGTCGTAGATGTGGAACAGCTCGCCCGTCTGCCACCGTCAGTATCTCCACTCCGCACACCAGAGCAGCAATGTAACTCACCGCAACATCCCACACGCGCACCTCCTCATCCCGACATGCCGTGACCGCCCACCGCCCGCGCGGGTCCACCACAATATCATTGACATAATCCGGGTGCTCCAGCACCGTGTCCACCCTCGCCACCACCTCCCCCTCCCCCTCCCCTTCCCCTCCTCCCCGCGCACATCCACCCTCTTCGCCGTCATATCCGCACTCGCCGTCCACATCTCCGCCTCCTCCCCCTCAAACCTCACCGCATTCACACTCGTCTCATGCACCACCAGCACACCCCCCACGCCCCTCGCGCCCCGCACCTCCGCCGCCTCAACCGGCACCTCCCAACACCTCATCCCCGGCTCACTCCCCGCCGAATACACGCGCGCCTTCACCCTTGTACTCAGCACGGGATCCGCCACGAGCACACCAACACCCCTCGTGTGCCCCGACAGCGCAAACAGCCGGTCGCCGCTCACGGCGTCCCAGATGATGATTGCCGCATCGCTGGCCCCCGAGAGCAGCAGCCCATTGGTGCTGTTGCGCAGGTACAGCAGCGACTTTACAAAGTCCGTGTGGCCTGCGAAGGTCCTGAGGGGCTTTCGGGTGGCCGTGGACCACGAGATGATGGTCTTGTCCCAGGAGCCGGCGAAGAGCGTTGCTGCAGCGGTGTCGAGCGCGAGAGAGGTGACGGGCGCGGTGTGGCCGCGGAAGGTGTGGCTTTTGTCGCCGGACTGCTTGCTTGCTCTTTGTGGTTAGCGGAGGGGAAGGGGGGAGGAAGAGGGGGAAGGGGGACCTCGAGGGAGACGCGGCGGGCGAGGCCGCCGCTCTCGGCGATGTAGATGCGGTCGGGGTTGGTGGGGTCGGGGAGGACGGCGAGGAGCTTGGAGCCTATGTCGATTGGGGAGCCGTTTTGGTTTCCGCGTTTGGCGGCGCGGCGGGCGGCTTTGGCTTCGCTTGCACTGTGAGGGGGGAGGAAGGCGTGGGGTTAGCAATTGGAGCTGTGCTGGGGGTGGTGGGTGTGGGGGAGAGGAGGTGCAGAGGAGGAGGAGGAGGAGGAGGAGGAGGAGGAGGAGGGGGAGGAGGAGGGGTTTATATACTCGGTCTGGAAGAAGTGGCCGGGGTCGGTGGAGACAGACATTGCGTGCGGGCTGCTGAAATTTGGGGATTGTGAGGTTTGTGGTGTTGGTTGGAGATCAAGACTGCTGCGATGGTGGGCTAGTTGGAGCCTGTCTTGGATGCGGGTCACGGGCTGTCACTCGGTGGGGAAGATGTGAGATATCGAGGTGAAGTGCTGGATTGAATTGACGGGCGCGGTGTAGACAATATATATACCGTGAATTACAGAAATTGAGACAGCCCGATATCTCTCGGTGTTTCTATCAGGCACCATGTACATACGAAGCTTGACTCATGGCCGACTCATAGGATCCTAGCATTGACGAGTGTATATATGCATGCATGTGCTTAGATACGTGCAGATAATACCCCCCATAGGTACTAGCAGCGATATATATGTCCTATTGGTGTTGTTGAAATATGAGGGCTGGGGAAAGGCTTTAAAGCGTTCCAGAGGACTCATGGTTTGGATTAGATAGACGTAGGTTCCTATACCCAGCTAGACTGTAGTGGGGGGGTTTGGCTCGGAAGCCAGCTGTGATAGAAACCTGGAGCTGGATGGGGCTGCGGTTGATATATGTGGATCATCCCTAACCAGTCTATATGTACGTAAATGTACCAATCAGTGACTTGAAAGGATTACGAACAATCTAGCTTACACTCGAACCGTCGGTATATATAATGGTATCAGCATATAGACTCATTCAATCGACGACGCCCCCCACATTCATGATTAGGGAGTTGGTTCCGTACATGCATTGTGACGGTCCAAATCCAAGGTATGTACCTCATGTCCATGCTGGGATATATGTTCTTCTATACATGTAGTGTATCTTCCTATCCTGAAGATTTTATGGAAGTTACTAGCTAGTTTTGGCACTGTGCTGTAGTTATAAGCACGTATGTGACGAGCCCATAAATACGGGCTATAGCCCAATACATTTTATTTCTTTTACATGTTGTTGCATGTGTGGGGTGCGGGGTTGGTTGGTATAGTCGGATCGTGTTGGGTGGTAAATACATGCATCTCGTACCCAATTTCCCCTACCAGAAGCATGCAAGCTGTTCACGGTGTTGGGTACTGCAAGACGGCATGTGTTCAAACGGCTGTAGAAAGACAAATCTATTAGATGAGAGAGGAGATGATACTGTATTGATAACTATAGGACTACTAGTAAGGGTTAATTCCTTGCTTTATATGACACAACAATATTATCAAAAACAGGTTGTCACGAGCTACCTATATATTCCCGCCGTAATTATATATACAACTCCACAGTTATCGTATACACACCTGACAGTCCTAGGCCTAGCAGCGCCCTTATCGTTTGGTACTTTCTCGACCTTCTGCAGCCCCCGGTCCGTCCCGAACACAGCTGATCTAGTGCTTCTTGCTCATGTGAAATCGAGGTGTAGTATGATGCCGCCAAATTGAATATATATTTCAAAGACTGACTATCAATAGAGCACATGAGCAGCTCTATCTATATGCCAACTCCAGCTCAGGCGGTGACCACCTTCCGGATTGATAAACCTACATGTATTCTCTGGCCACAAATCTCTACAGAAGAGCAAGAGGTATGGGAACTATGTAAAAATCCGACTGTAACGTGGTTTTAGTAATGGTGTCCACAGTCTAGCTAGCCTAACTAGACGTGTCACCGTTACATGTACATGTATAAGTACAGGTAGATGGGCAGCTTCCATCCTATTACATGTACCTGTCGAGTCTTCCTAGACTTACCTCCAAAATGCCTACTCCGAAAAACACCTCTGTCAGCTAAAGCGCCATATTTCCTCAACTCCACTTTGATCCTTTCAAAAACCGGCTATCAATAAATAAACACAGCTGATACGGCAAAGTTCGGTGTCACTTATGTAGACGGCCATAAGAACAATTGCGAAATGACACCGAAGAAGCTGCAGGCCAAGTCTAGCTCCGACTATCTAAGGTAGTAAGATCTAGAGCTACAGCCAAGGTTCGAGTTAAAGCCATTAGTATTAATCGTTGCATAGAGAAACGTCACGAGGCATGAGAGATGCCGCAATTCGGTTAACGTTTTTATCTGTAGCGTATATGTCGCTGACTGCTCAATAGCTGCGTTCTTAATCATTGGCTCTGACCTATAAACTACATTGCTATATATTCGCCCGTGACCACTTGGTATAAGCGGGGAAATACCTAGCGTGGTGCATAAGCTTTAATATCTTGGGGCTGGGCGTCAAATGCCAATGATTGAGAATACACCATATTCTTCCATCGGTGATATGGACGTGTAGTAGTATGTAGGCCTATGCAGGATGAAAGTGAAGTATGTAGTAGTAAGGCTGAGAATTATGGAATCGGATCTTATTGATATGACAGGGTGGTGGGTGGTGGTATAACACAAACCCCAACCCAATAATTTGGGCCAATTCGTCTGACAGGTTTGGCCCACACCAATGAGCTTACCCCGACTACCTACTCTACATACATAGCAAAGACACAAAATGTCTCCGAGCCCCATGACGCTCCCCGTTCCCCCAATTAACGTGGTGTCAGGAAACATGACAGCCTGACCAAAACATTTTTTTTCCACAAACCGTTGCCACCTACCTACCTCGAACACTCCCGAAGCTAAGTTTGAGAAACCGCCCTACCATCTCACAGTTCCAACAACCACATACCTCCCCCACCCCCCTTCGATCTCTCCACACCGCGCAAGCTGGGCTGAACCTCCCGTCTATTTCCGACCTACGTCAGTTCTGTAGGTTTGTTGTAGGTAAGTATGTGCGCGTTGTCACTGACTCCTCTCGCTGCGCTGGTTGTGGTAATAAGAGAAACTGTTATATAGCGACGGGAAGCCCTGCATGATGGAGATCTATTTATAGCAATGGCGTGCATGTGGGGCTGCATTTGATCTTGCGATGAAAGTGATCAAAGTGCGGTATGTGCCTGAAGCTCATTACCCCATTTCTTTCTTTTGGTTCGAGTCATTCAATTAATACCTTATAGGGGTATTATTATCCGCAGAAGATTAATTGCGCCGCTGGAGTATATAGCAGAACAGCACTTTGGACGAAATTTAATATGGAGAGCAGACCATCTACCCTACCTACCCACCCCCTACGAGTTGATCGATCCCCGTAAGCAATTAAGATTGAAGCTTAAACTACTTAGCTAGCGCGGGCTCACAAGCTATCACTCGCAGCCTCAGGCGGTAAGCAAGCACCTGCAGCCCGGAGTAAAAAAAGGAATATCGAAAGGGCCCCCACGATGTAATAGGCTCTGCACCACACCCCCGGCCCTGGTAGGGTTTACATTCTACTATTGACTTGGCGCTGTACTGTCTCACCAGCGGGGCCCGGGGGGGCTGAGTCTCGAACAATAATACTCCATGGGGGATGACTGGCACGATGCGTACATATACACATAACGACATATGAGGTGTTGTGTGTGCTTTTAATTCTCCCCTGCTTTACTTATTATTGTGGGCCTGCTCGTCGACTTCTACGCTCTCTTCTTGGCTCCTTTCTTTTCTGTCGGTCTATCCCGTACTTTGCTGTGTGTATCTAATTCATATAGACTCGTAGAGGGTTCAAACGCTGCTGTTAGTACCCGTCAAAGTTGTGCCTCACAACCCATCGATCTTTTCAGCCTCACCATCTTCAATTAATTAACCCGCCCAGCATGCGCACCGCCGCCCTCCTCCTCGCCCTAGCGGCCCTCCCCACCGCGCTCACCCGCCAGATCCCCGACGCCCTGCAATCCTTCTACGACACCGTCAAAGTACCCCCCCATTCCCTCCCCCCCCCGCTCCTCCGCACCAACTAACCACCTCCACAGGACGGCCACTGCCCCACCACCCTCCACAGCGGCCTCCGCAGAAACGCCGACTCGCGCGCCACCTTCCGCTACTGCACGGACGACTCGTCGAACCTGATGTGGATCGCGGGGCCGTCGAGCCTGGCCGACATGGACGTCGACTGCGACGGCGCCAACAACGCGCACGGCGCGTGCGAGAACGACCCCACGGGGCAGAGCATCACGGCCTTCCAGGACGAGGTGTCGCGGTTCGGCATCGCGGACCTCGATGCGAATCTGCATAGCTATGTCGTGCTGGGCACGGGCGGGTTTGATCCGAGGAAGGAGGGCGTGAGCAGCTTGAGTGTGGTGGCGGTGGTGTGTGGTGGGGAGTTGGTATGTTGCACCCTTGGGGGAGAGAGAGAGAAAGCTTGTGTGGGCCCAGCAGCTTGGCAACGGGGGCGGTAATGTAGATCAGGGGACTGATAGTGTGTGTGTGTGTGTGTGTGTGAGCAGTTCTACGGCGTGTGGGGAGACTCGAACGCGGACGATCTTGTCGGCGAGGCGAGTCTGTCGCTGGCGACGGCGTGCTACGGAAACCGCATGAACGGCAACTACGGCCACGCAGAGACGGACGTGCTGTATCTGGCGTTTCGCACGGATGAGGCTGTTCCTGGGCGGAATGCGTCGTGGTAATATAAACCCTACTCTACTCTATATAAACCCTCCTGGTTGCGTCAGGGAATATAAACTATAACTCTATTTCAACCACCTCCTCTAACATAAAAACCAAAATAATACCAATAGGGACGCGAAAGATTTCGCCGCCTTCGAAGACTCACTCTACAACACCGGTGATGCAATGCTAGCCAAATACCTTCCCGTTGCGAACGGCGGCGCTGGCGGCAGTGGCAGTGGTGGTGGGAGCAGCGGCGGGAAGGGCGGTGATAGTGGGAATGGTGATGATGAGGATGTGGGCTTTAGTGTGCAGGCTCCGGGAATCTGTGCGTTGCTGTTCCTTTTGGGTTTTGTGGCTTTCGTGCAGGCGTAGTTCTTTTTTTTTTTATCTTGTGTCCAGCGGAGCGCCCTCTGTTTTCTTTTGTGTTTCATTTATATTGGTGGTAATTCTGTTTTTCGTGGTAATTTGTAATAGATGGTGATAGATCTATAGGGTATGGTATGGTATGGTATGGTGTGGTTTGGTAGGGATAATGGATGGGATGGGCGGTGATAGATCGGATCGGACTTTTATATTGGTTCCCTTCTTTTCCTTCTGTTGTTGGTTTTGGCTTTTTTTTGGTCGTTATTATTAGTAGACTTGGGATCAGACCAGTTACTGATTCGTCCTCCTTGGATTCAAGGGAAAGGGAACGGGCGAGCGCTGCCATTCTGCGACTACGCGGCAGAGCACTGTGGGCAGAGGGGGGACTGAAATAGTAATGCGCCGGATTATCGGACGATTGTGCTTTGAATTCTCACACGTGCATTGTTGTTGTTGCTGCAAGCAAAATTGGTGTAAAAGTGATCATTGACAGGAGAGTAGGTACTTGTGAGAAGGGGGGGGCCTTTTTGGAAGATTTATAAATTTCCTTGAGTTTTGAGCTAGCATAGATAGAATTGCATGGTTAGATCGATAGGAAGAAGAACACATAAAAGAACAACTCAAAAATACAAGTAAGACACCACATCCCCAAGCAAAGGGCGAAACATACAGGCATCCAGCGCCTCACATCAACATTACACATAAACATAGCCCTCAAACCCCCCAAAATCACAACTCCCCCCGCACCCTCACCACCTTCTCCCCCTTCTTCTCCGCCGTGGTCCACCTATCAATCCACTCCAACACCGTCTCATGCCAAAACAGACTATTCTCCGGCTTCAAAACCCAATGGTTCTCATCCGGGAACGTCAAAAACTTACTCGGCACCCCTAGCTCCTGCAGAATATTAAACACCGCCAACCCCTCGCTCACAGGGAGCCTGTAGTCGAGCTCGTTGTGGATCACGAGCTGCGGTGTGGCCCAGTTCGTGACCAGCGCGGCTGGGTCCCATTTGCTGTACCCGGCGCGGTTCTCCCAGATTTTGCCCTCAAACTGGAATGATAATCAGTCAGCTCTTTTTGTTCGATCTCGTTAGGGTTGCGGTTTGGGGGAAAGGGGGGGAGCTTACGTCGTGTTGGGGGAAGTAGAGCTCTTCGGAGGAGTACTGGTTGAGTGTTGAGAACACGCCGTCGTGGCAGACGAGGGCTTTGAATTTCCTTCCGAGGGGCTTTCCTTGGATGTAGTTGATCATGTATCCACCATAACTAGCGCCCAAAGCTACCGAGTTGTCAAAGTCAATGTAGCTATATTTGTCAGACTTCTCAAGATACTCAAAGGCCTTCTCCAAATCGATATATGGTCTGCCACCTATAACACAATTTAATCCGGTCAATAAAACAAAAACGCCATAAAATGGGCTAAAACTTGAGGAGTCATACCCCATTGTCCTTGGATGCCATCGACAAACTTTTGTCCGTACCCAGTGCTTCCGGTGGGATTCACAGCTACAACTACATATCCGTGCTCAGCAAACACAGCCGGGTTCCACCTGGTGCTCCATGAATCCGTCCAGGCGCCCTGTGGACCACCATGGATGAAGAAGGCCATCTTCCACTTCTTCTTGGCGTCAAAGTTGCTAGGCTTTGTAATGAGGCCATGGACCTCTACATCGTCAGCCCCTTTGAAGGAGAAGTCCTCTACAGTAACCTTCTCGAGTGACGATAGCTCTTTGTCGACTTTTACAGGTGAAAGAAGGGGAGTAACAGTTTTCGAGGACGGGTCGAGGGTAAAGTATCCAGTGGACGACGTGAGCGAGTTCTTCGAGATGAGCAGCTTCCCAGTGGGGAGGATGTGCACTCCATTGACCGAGTTCTCGCTGATGAGCTCTTCTACATCCCCGGAGTTCGCACCCACAATACCAGTCTTGAAGAGCTTTCCACGCCCGTTATTTTCAGCTACGATATACAGCGCGGCGCTGTCCGGAGCCCACACAAGCTTCGATGGAGAGTTATCCCAGTCCTTCAGCAACAGCGTGGTCTTGGAGGAGGAGATCTCGTAGAGGAAGATCTTGTTTTGGTCGCTCTCGTAGCCGTTCTGATACATCTGCAGGTATGCGATGTACTTCCCGTCAGGCGAGTAGACAGGGGAGGAAGAGGCGCCTTGGGCAATGAGGTTGCCGTCGGTATCTTTCTTTTCAGGGGGTTTATGGGGCAGGGCTTGCTTCCGTCGGAGAAGGGGACGGTGTAGACGAGTGTTTGGGTGTTGTTGGCTGGGTTCAGATCGGGCGACTTTGACAGGAACGCTACTGTGTCGCCGTCGGGGGAGATGGTGAAGTCCTCTGCACCGCCGAAGGGAGCTACAGGCGTCTCGAGCTTTGAGCCAGATCCAAGAAGGTTCATCAATTGTTTGTGCACAGCATCACTGTTCGATTCGGGGCCGGTGAAGAGGGAAGACCTTTGGGGCTTGATATAAGAGTCCCAGTGACGGACAAACAACGACTCGTAGGACAGCCCTGAGGTATACTTCTTCGGAGCTGTTTCCGCGTTATATGCCTCACCGGTAGAGGGGGTTGAGAGCGCCGAGACCACAAAGTTCAGGTACTCACCCCGAACGACAGGCTTGAGGTTTGATACGGGGGCGTTGAGAGATGCGAACAGCTTCTTTGTATCCGGGTTGTGGCAATTCGACAGCCAGAGCTGCGACCCGCCCTTTACGTCTGGGTTCGTCTCATTGATGTACAGGATGCTATCGTCGTTAAGCCAGGCCACCTCTTGGACCGCAGTGTCATTGAACAGCACCGAGGTCGCGCCGGTGTCTAGGTTGAGCAAGCTCCATGTCGAGGTCTTGCTGTGGGAATCGAAAGAGTACGTCGACGAATGGAAGATGGCAAGCGTCTTTAAAAACAAAATCAGCAATTGAAGCTTGTGCTGGAAATACTTGTGGGAATACTCACACCGGCCTTGTTTGGTACGGCTTCACCGCGGCGTGGCGCGCTCAAGAGGTCCCTGTTGAGTCCATGGGGTCAGCGCGAGTGTTGGAAGCTTCAATGGGGGAGAATAATGCTTACTTTGGGGTGAATCTTGCCATTACAGTTTGTGAAAATGGCAAGAGAAGTGCAAGGAGGATTGAGGGGCTAAAAGACGGCATATTGAAATGTGAGAAGCAGGGTCAGTTGATCGAGGATTGGTCGGAAGGTGAGCGTGGGTCCAGAGGGCGCTTTAATGTGCTCCAGGGAGCTCGGTGGTGTAGGTACAATGGCGAGCCCTGTAACAATCCAGGATTCGGAAATAAATCTCAATGGAAGAGTGAACAGAAATGATTTCTATGTGACGGATGAGATCGTATGATCGTGTATAATTTATCTAGTTATTCTAAGTTCGTCATTAACCCAGAAAATGCTGTGTGTGTCACGTGTGTGTGTCTTGTTCGCGTTGCGGCGCCACGGCCACCGCCACAGAATGATTTAACGCGGGGCTAGGGTTGACCTAGAACTTTATCTATGTCGCGTCTCCCGCCAACCGCACCGACCAACGTGTGTAACAAAAACTGTGAGGATCAAGTTACAACATTTGCAAGTTTCTTTCAGCAAACACATCGCGTAACAGCAGTTATGCCTCCTTCTGGGCCACCTCCGTATATATGGGGAGTCCATCCCAGGGACCAGCAATACCCAAGAAAGCGGAAGGTTTGTTCTCAAGCTTCCTTGTGGTGGTGTACAAGGTTAATCTAGGTGCTAATATCATACATGTACATAGGCCCCGCTTCTTGACGAAATGCTGGTCACATTCCCAGAGTAAATTCTCGCATTTCTCGAAGCTCCCACCCGCTGATTGAAGTCTCTGACATTCAAACAGTGCGAAACGGCTTACCCCATCCACTGGCAATAAGTACGAAGACATTGTTAAGTACATGAGGGAACGGCATAGGGAACAGAGGTCCGTTCCATCGTACGCATTCATATTAATGAATACCAACTAACTGTACGAAGACAGCGACTACTGAGCCGGCACGAGAGGGAATTCAAAGAATGGAAAGAAGAGACTGCTAAGTGTATTGACTTCGAAGCAACCTACAAATACAACTTCCCTATAGGTCGCCCAAATGCCATAATGCTCCCCGAGTCCATTGACCTCATATCCACCCCTGAAGCGAGAGCCTCTTTACAGCGACTACCGGAAACTCGTCGAAATGTCGTTGTTTCGGTCGAACAGCTTAAAGTACCAGAGGGGCTTTCAGAAATAGATGAGTACCGAACGAAGCAGTTTTCACATCCCGAATTTTCCGCCGAAATCGCAAGATATGGAGTTTCCATGAGAAAGCAGATGAGAAGAGAGGAGCAGGAATTGAGGATGTACCAGAATGAAGCAATATCTATATTCTTCCAGGCCCTCGAGAGGAATTACCCAGACAAGTATGGTAAGTACGGGAGCAACTCAAAGAAGGAAGTGCCAACTACTCATAAAGCGCCAACCTTTGGGCCTTACACTCCCCTCGCCGATAAAAAAGAGTTTGGGTCAGATATTCGGCGCCCCCCGCCTCCACCCCCACTTTCTATTCCCAAAGTCCCTAGCACAACCTCTGCTAGGGGCACTCCCCAGACAGGCCTTTTTACTTCCGCCGACGGAGATGTAATCATGCGGGATGCTCCACTACCTCCAAAGGCCGGTGCTGCTTCACCGGCATTGCCATCACCGGGCATTAGTCGGGATCCTCGCAAACCTCCGCCACAATTTGATCCATATAAGATGCGAGTTGATCAAATTTCACCCCCCAATCAGCCTCCAAGCTCTTACAGAGGCCGAGGGGAAAATCCGCCCCACTATAATCGTCGCGATGAATCCCGTTCGTCAAATTCCTACAGACGGCGCGACGATCCATACTCTCGGCGAGAAAGTATTGAGTCGCGGGGGGCTGTTGCTTATAGTAACAAGTTCAAGTCTCCAAGGTCACCATCCTTGCGTAGCCCTTTCAACGAACACGATAGGGGATACCAGGGGCCGAGGCAAGAAAGCGATCGAACAGGAGGACAGTCGCCAGCTGTCGGCAGAGATGGTGGCGGGAGGGGTGCAAGTCCAAGAAACAATAACGCAATGGATTCGGGGGAAACGTCGTATAATAGGCGTTCGAGTATGTCAAACATGAGGCGTTGAAAATCTGCCTCTAGGATGATGATGGTGATTCCCTTGTATACCCTCTTTGTTTTTAAAATAGGTGTTGGGCGTCTGGTTTTACAACATTCTTATGATACCTACAAATTAATGCGTTCTGTCTTACGTACATGTGGGAGTAGGCCTTTGCTCACCCCTGTATCAAGGTTTCCTCCAATCCTCTCCCAGCAAGCGTATCCACCAACCTTATAGTCATTAGTCTACATTCATACATGTAATGGTAACTACTTTGAAGGTAGAAACACATAACACATGTACTCTTTATCATTATGAAATATAAGATGTAATTTGTGTTAAATTCGTGATAATGAGGTTCAATTGAGATGCACAGGTCGAGATGCATCTTAAGCTGGGCACACGACAATTGCCAAACAGGTATTCCTTGAGAATACACCAATTAGAGTAGGCAAGGTCTGTGACTCGCAGAAACGATTTTAGTGGGCTTCCCGAGCAGGTGACGAATGAGCTGGTGGTCGGTTGCCTGGTGAGCCTCCGCAACTTCCTGCTCTCCTTCCCTTCTTCTTCCTTCTTTCCCCCCACCAACCCCCCATCTCCAGTTTCTCTCCACAATAACATATCTCCTAAGTCCAAGTAAGTAACCTCTCCCCTGCTCTAATCTGTTCTTTTCATCTCGCCTACTACACTTTCACTAAGCACCTCACCCCGCGTTTTACCACAATCAACCCCGCATTTTTCTTTCTTTTTCTTCTCTCCTTAACTCCTCCACCCCTTCCATTCGCTAATCTCTTGACTGCTGTGGAACGTAGAAACACCCAGCTAAATTGTTTTCTCGAAAACGAGAATTCTCAAGGAAATGACCACCAAAGTAACAGCCAACTCAGCCTCTAAGGCTTCTAAGCACAAGTCCAAGAAATCAGCTTCCAAGTCTATTGTTTCTGAGGGCTCCAATGATGTTGCGGCAGCACCTGCCCCAGAAGTCCCTGCAGAGAGTGCCAATGGCTCTCAGGGAGGAGAGAAGGCGGAGAAGGCGGAGAAAGAGTACATGAAGGAGGTCTCAAAGTAAGATTGATTCTTGATACGCTCTGGTTCTTTAGTAGCAATCTAGGATGAAAACACCTTGAGTTCATGAATGGAAGGCTAATTTTAATTATTTAAACTCATAGGCGACTTAGAAAACAGACCAAGAAGATGGTATATTCTTTTACTACTTTCACCTGGAATTTACTGCCTCTCCCATTGTGACAATACTCTCTCAATACTCACTACAAAACCCCAGCCCATTCCTTCACAGCTCTACTAACTTCATCTAAATAATAGGACAACATCAAAAAATCTGAGGACAAGATCAAGGATCTCACCGAAGAAGAGCAAGCTATTTCTAAACTCATCAATACTGATGAGCGTAGTAAAATTGCTGGCAAGCCCATTACCGCCGCTGTATTCAAGGAACTGAGCGAGATTCACGATACCTTGAAGAAGGTTGCCGAGGCCGAGGACAAGCGTGTTGAAGAGGAAAAGGCCGAGGCTGAAGCCAAGTTCACCAAAGCTGTCGCCGAAGCCAGGGAGCAGGGAAGACAGGAAGGTCTTGAAGAGGCTACCGCCAAGATCCTAACTGTGGTTAGGTTTTTGAGGTTGGCTGGGTACAGGAGGCAAGCTAAGAGTGGAAACGACCAAGAAGATGATGCTATCGAGAGGATCTTAGTCCTAGTTTATGGTGGTGATCAGAGCGCAGTCGACGTGTGCATGAAGCTTGCAAATGGATCTGATGAGAAAATCGATGATTTCGACGTCACTTGTACGGTTTTACGATTCCTTGACTTCATCCCACCCACTTCCTTTTTTCGCTTACCAAAGATTTTTTTGCTGACTATATTTCCTACAGATTCCCAAATCAAGGAAACCGCCGCCAATCTCAGAGTTATGGGAGAGGAGGAACCGACCGAGGAGCTTGAGCCTGAGCATGAAGATGTTAAGATCGAGTCGGAAGAGATAAATGCTGATACTCAGCTTCCTACTGAGGACTCTCATAACGAAGATCCGTCAGGCAACATTGCTCAGCCTGAAGTCGAGGAGGGTGTCCCTCCCCCACAAACATACACTAACGGCGAAGTTGAAGCGCCTACCTCAGTCCCAGCTGCGTCCATTACCGCAGACGATGCTGCCAACGAGGAGGCCAAGACGGTCGAAACTGTAGAGGCTACTCCCGAGGTCCCTGAAGCTGTTGTTCCGAACGAGACATCGGCTGAAACCACTGGCCCTGTCACCGCCGATCCCGTCGCCGCCGGGGATGTCCCCACTGCGGATACAAAATCCTGGGCCGATGAAGAAGTCAAGACCCCTGAAGCTACCACCGAAACATCACCAGAAAACAAAGAGTTCCAGAACGTTGAGCGTCGTGGAGGGCGTGGACGTGGAGGTCACCGCGGAGGCCCGAGAGGGGACTTTAGGGGAGGATACCGCGGCCGAGGCGGTCACCGCGGCGATAGAGGAGGTGAATATCGCGGCCGTGGTGGTGGAGAGTACCGTGGTAGAGGTGACGGGGAATTCCGCCCCAGAGGTGACGGTGAATTCCGCCCCAGAGGTGATGGTGAGTACCGCGGAAGAGGTGGGTACCGTGGTAACAGGGAGAGGGGTGATGGCGAGAACCGTGGAGGGTATCGTGGTAGGGGACGCGGCGATCACCAGAATCACCAGGGCGGCCAGCAGTACCAACAGCCACAACCAACAGCTGCAATCTCTACCTAGATACTAAAAGTTTAGTGCGAGTATTTTTAATTTCTTTACTGTACGATTTCAAGGTTTTTTCGTTTTGCCTGGTTTGATTTTCTTCTTTGCAGGGTTTGATGTCTACTATTTGTTTGATATCGATTTTGCGTGTCGAGAGCAAATCTATTGCAAATTCCCTATCCAAAAAAGTTGATTTAGGAACGGTCTTCTTAACCCGAAAAAAATTAAAAAGAGCTTGGAGTTGATTTCTGATTCTGCTTGTGTCTGGTCGAATTTCTTATGGTGTAGTTTGGGAAGGCGGAACGGTATGGGGTGTTATTGATTTGTTTCCTCTATATCTACCAAATCTGTCTGACTATGTGCATTTTGCCCTCTTCCTTCGCATTGAAGCGTCTTTGAACAGGGGCAAAGCAATCGTCTTTCTTTTCGTGTTTGAGTTTTTCTGAGAATATGGTCAAATGTGGCAGATTAATGAGTAAAAATAACGGTATGACTGATCATGATAGTGTTTATTTTACTTCATATTCAATTTACCTATTCCAGGCAAGCTTTCTGCGTTCTCTGTGCAGCCAAAGATATCTCATTGTTTGAGGGAAAGGTATGTATTTCTCATAGTGATTGTATGTAGCAGTATTAGCAAAATGTGTGTAATGAATAAACCTATTAAATGGGTGAATGGTCGTTTGTAGTGTATGTAAACTCCATCGATTCTGAGTGGAGAGGTTATAGAGGCAATAACAGGTCAGATATTATCCCATTTATGCTGGGGGATTAATCTCAAAAGAGAACAGGATCCTGCACACGTGCCTCCTGCCAGGTGGAACCTTACAACGACACGCCGTTGGCTTTCAACTGCATCAGCCAGATCTCGGATCTGAGATTCCTTCGATAAGCTCTCGCTAAGAGATTTTGCGGGAGATCTAATAACCAGGTACGCAGGCTGGGGGGTGCACTTTGGTTATCAATGGTTTCACAGCACGTACTCATGTAGATCGGAGATAAGTAGCTAGATTGGTTGATTAATTGATTGATTGATGGATGAATGACGCATATCTACTACATCCTAACCATCTTCTAGAAGGAAAGAAAAAATGGGATAAGGAGGAAATGCCTCAAGGAGGAGAAGTGCAAATTGCAGACAGATAACAGTCTACATGCTGCAGTCACACACCTTGCAAATCCTGACGGGTGTGGTTGTGACAGCCCTGGTTATTTATGTACTTAGATGTATTTATGTCTGGGTACATGTAGGTCTGGGTATGGGTATGGTCGATATGGTATGGTATGGTGCCTAGCAGCCAAGTGACGGCGGGCGGACGGACGGACAGGGACGGGAAGCAAACAAGCATTTCCCCCCCCCCCCCCCTTTTCCATTCCCCTTCCCCATCCCCTTCCCTTCCCTTCATCTCAGTCAGGAACAGGTTCAAACAGAAATCCCATCTGTGTGGTCGATGGTGGTGGTGGGGGGCAAGCCGATCCATGCGCAATTGTTGCGGGCATCCGGATTTGGATAGACGCTAGTAAACCCAGAAAATGTCCTTGGCAAAGGGTAGTTTTCCGGCTGGTAGAAAAGCAGAGAGGTGAGAGAGAGAAGGGCTGCAAGGATTACCCGCTTCTTCTTCTTCTTAAGCTGCACCTTCCGATTTCTCTGCTGATCCGTCGCAAAAAAGCAAGCAAGCAACGCAGCAGCACAGCGAACAAGAAGGTGAGCGTATGTGAGAGAGAGAGGGTTCTTTCAGTGAGGTTTGGGGAGACGTAAGAAAAAACAAAAACGGAAGAGGAGTTTCTAAGTTAAAGTAGGCCAATAGGAAAACAAGAAGCAAAAGAACAGGAGGAAGGGGGTGAAAGGAGTGAAAAAGGAATTCTCTCATCATTAATCGACAGCGACACTCCTGTCCTCCTGCCTGGGCTTGCTGTTTTCTTATCGATATTGTTCCCTCTCTGAGATCCTATTCCCATTCTCCTAACCACATCTACTACATTCGTTACACCTCTCTCTCTATTTTTACCTAGTAGTCATCTACGAGTCTACTCTAGAGTAGGTAACTCGTCTCTTTCACACAACTGACCTATTTTAACAGGCGAAAGAGGATAAAAGCTATTCCGCTATTTCTGTTTCCTCTCGTCTCCTCTCCCCCTCCCCTCAAATCCCAAGACCAAGTTCCAGGTCCAGGTCCACAACCCCCCTCCCCCCCCCCCCCCCCTTCGCGGTCGGTTCCTCATCCGTCGGTCGTTAACTCTTGCTCGGAAACTCTTTTTCTTGTGCAACTGCATCATTTTATTCCTGTCTTTCTTTCTTTCTGTATTTTTCACAACCAGCCGCCACCATACATACTTACTACTCCCCCATACTGTTGGTGCATACATCTTCATACATTCTGTTGCTGTAACCCCATCAACCACGTCTTCACCGCTACTGTCTGCTGCTTCTCTCTACCTCTCTCGCCCACCTAGCAGCATCTCTGGAACGACGCAACATATTTTACCTGTACCCATTCACATCCCCCACCACAACCACCACAACAATCCTCCCCCTCCTCGCTCCCCCCTCCAACCAATCCCCTTCCACGCGACTTTATCCATCAGTAATATTAAAAAAGAGGCGCTGTCATCCCGATGGCGTCTGCTACCCAGGCGATGGCAAGCGAGGGGCACAATTTCCAGGTGGTGATCGAGAAGCAGCCCGGTGATGACTATGAGGTCGCTCCAGAGGAAGCACAGGAGGCAGACGAGATCCAGCCGGACCATTATTACGAAGATGGCGGGATACCGGTGTTTAAACCGGTGAGTCTATTGCGCGATCCTTTTGTTGCATGGCTTTTAGCTTCCTTTTGGCTCTCGTCGCGGTGGGGCTCGGTGGTGCCTAAGGAGGTCAACATTGCGGGGTGTAGATGAAGCGACAATAGCTATACTATGTAGGTCTTTAATGCTGACGGGGAAGGTAGACAATGGATCAATTCAGTTCGTTCAAGGACTTTGTAGATAAGATCAACCATTACGGCATGAAGTCTGGAATCGTTAAGATTATTCCACCACAAGAATGGTAAACAATCACCTTGAACCTCCCACACAACCAAACTCTCCTCGTCACCTTTTTTTCCCCTCCTGGGTCCCGTCTCGATTTTATTTTCTTTGAGATAAAAATCGCGACACGCTTTGGCTTGCGCCTTTTGGGCGCGGTCCAAGTGCTCAATGATGCTAATTACTTGTGCAACAGGTACGATACTCTTGCTCCACTTGAGGAAAAAGTCAAAGACATTCGCATCAAAAACCCTATTGTACAACACATTGCCGGCATGCAAGGCGAATATCGCCAAGAGAACGTCGAGAAACAACGAACCTACAACTTGCCGCAATGGCGTCAGCTCTGTGAGGGTGCCGAACATCAGCCCCCAGCAAGGCGCGGTGAGAGAAGGAAAGGACAGGTCGCGAAAGAAGTTACTGTTGGGCGCAGAACCAGATCCTCAAGGAAATCTACCGTGGCTCCCGATCTCCCTGATAAAGAAAAGGACGAAGATGTCGACGATGAAGTTAGACCTACAAACGCGAGAAAGCGAAATCTTCCCACTCCGCCAGAAAAACTGAAAGAGGAAGAACCTGGAAGCCCAAAAGTACTTACGGATTCTCACGGACGTCAACCTAGAGTTAGCGCTATCAGTGGCGTTGATGTTGATGGAGGCGATGGAACACCAGAGCCCTTGACGGACAGCCATGGTCGTCAACCAAGGCAACGGAAGAAGTATGTCAGGAAGACCGCCAAGGCCAGGGAAGCTGAGCAAGCAATGCTTGACGACGAAGCTTTTGAGGGGTTCGATTACCGGATTACCAACGCGGACGAATATACGCCCGAACGTTGCGAAGAGCTTGAAAAGGCTTACTGGCGTACATTGACCTACAGCAACCCACTGTATGGTGCCGATATGCCTGGCAGCTTATTTGATGACAGGACCACATCTTGGAATGTGGCCCACCTTGAAAACTTGCTTGACTGTCTAGGAAAGAAGCTCCCCGGTGTCAACACAGCATATCTATACCTGGGGATGTGGAGAAGTACTTTCGCGTGGCATTTGGAGGATATGGATCTTTATAGTATCAATTATATCCACTTCGGCGCACCAAAGCAGTGGTACTCAATATCGAGGTCCGATAAGGCCAAGTTCGAAGAGGTTATGAAGAGTAAGCTTTCTCCCCATTGTAAGGAATCTCAACCCGCGCTAATACCCAGCAGGGACTTGGCCAAACGACTCGAAGAAGTGTACAGAATTTTTGAGGCACAAGAGTTATCTCGTCTCCCCATCACTCCTTGCCAATGCCGGTATCAAAGTCAACAAAGTCGTTCATCATCAGAGAGAGTTTATTATAACTTTCCCATACGGCTACCACTCCGGCTACAATATGGGCTATAACTGCGCTGAAAGTGTTAATTTCGCGACAGAATCTTGGCTGCAATATGGGCGCACCGCAAAGAAATGCGAGTGTATCAAGGATTCGGTATGGATCGATGTGGCCGAAATTGAGCGGAAATTGAGAGGGGAATCCACGGAGGACGAGTACGAAGAAGTTGAGTACTATGGAGGATATGATGACGAGGATGACGAGGATCAAGATGAGGCGATGGATCTTCCGACCCCCCTGAAAGTGTAGAAGGCAAGACGGCGAAACTGAAAAGTAAGCCTAGAAAACGAAAAGCGCCGGAAGATGGGTCGGAAGCGCCGATCAAGATCAAAAGGCTTAAACTTAAATTTTCGAAGGCTCCTCAAGAGCCTGAGCCGGTGGGTTTCCGACGATGTACCCATTTCGATGTTGTAATTTGGCGTTGACTTTTTTCCTCTTTTGTGTAGTGTATCCTTTGCCCGAATAATATTCCTAGCGAAGAATTGGTAGCAACAGATGATGGTCAAAACGCACACAGGTACGCTACTAACATATTTTGCCTGTTTTGGTTTTATTACTATTTATTTATCCTCTACATTGCACGGCTTGCAACTATTGTCGTGGTCGTCGCACTTGGCTTGCTTCGTAAGACGTGTGGCTGACAACCTTGCGTATTGCTTAGGCTGTGCGCTATCTACACACCCGAGACATTTTTCAGCTGGGACCCTTCCATTCAAAAGGAAGTTGTCGCGAATGTCAACGGAATCCCTAAGGCCCGCATCGATCTCAAGTGCGTCTTTTGCCGATCGAAAAAAGGCGCCTGCTTTCAGTGCTCGTCGAAAAAATGCACTCGGGCCTACCACGCGACGTGTGCGGCTGCTGCTGGTGTTCTTGTCAATATGGTTGATGTGCCTGTTTTCGGCGAGGACGGCCAGTATTATACCCGTACCGAAATCGACTTCCGATGCCGATTCCACAGACCTAAACGAGCCAAGGATATAGACATCGAACATCTAGAGAACGATCCGCTAATAAGGTCTTTTGGGAGCCATCTAATCAAGGGTGATGTCATTCAAATGCAGTTCCTCAAGGGTGAAATATTTGCCGGTGTTGTCATCGAGAACAGACGTAGTGAGGAAATGGTTCTCATCCAGGTCCTGCCAAAAGGGTTTGTTTTCCATTGAGCTATCAAAGTTACGATAAGGCTGACGAATTAAAATTTAGTGATATCTGCGAAATTGAGTGGAAATGGATACTTGCACAAGATCCTTCAACTATAAACATACCAGAACCGCTTACTGAGATGCCGTTGAATCCTACCCCCCAGCAAGCTGGAATCGCAACTCGGAGAGTTCCTAAGGAGATTCCTGACACTGATGATTGTTTCGGCGAACCCGCAAGTGGGTTAAAATGGGCTGAATTTGTCGTCGAGAGACCAGCATTCAATGAGGATCAAGCGCCTGTCGATTTCACAAAACCGTTCTGGCACTATCTCGGCGAGTTGTCAACTGAATACATTTCAAAATATTCAGAGGATCCGCGGAGGCGTGTTCCGAACGAGGCTGCTAATCTTATTCCCTCGAGGAAACCGAAGCCTAGAAGACAAACGCTACCCAAGGCAGCCGCATTTAACTCACACATGCAGAATGCCACTGCTAGTGGGTATATGGGCTATTCTCAGGGACTTTCGCCGCAGCAGCAGGCAGAGCAGCGTTACCAGCAACAGCTCCAAGCTCAACAGCGGAGGTTTATGTACAACCATCCGCCCAGCCAGGGTTACCATGGTGCGCCCGTTGCACCAATGGTAGGGCAGCTGCCGCAGCATCAACTGTGGCCTCCTGTCTATAGACCCGTAGATTTTCCTATGCAGCATGCGCATGATATGGGTACAAATATGCCCGCTACTGGGCAGTTTATGGCTCAGTCTGTTGATCAACGCAGGGCTGCACACATGGCTGCCGCCGCGCTATCGATGTCGCCACACGGAATATTCAGTAATGATATTCCTTCGCAGGTATCAGGCTTAGCCGAAATGGATACCTCAAATGCGCACGAAGATAATGCTTCAAGTATCGCCGCAATGGAGGATACTATTATTGTCACATCGCCTATCATTCAAAAGGCCGATGTTTCACCAAACCCTCAACTCGTAACTCCGCTGAAATTTGAACCACAGGACGATCAGTCATTATCCAACACGGCCAAAGTCACCACCGTCCCCATGCCGGCGCCTGTTACTCCCCCACAGTTAAATGGAAATAATCCGCTTTCTGCACCATCGTCCGGAGCTCCAAATCCTCCCCCCAACAAGGGTCTGAAGCTCCTCCCCAACCCAAACCCACCCCCACAAAGGTGGTGCCGTTAGCAGATATCCAGGCGGCGCTCGCGAGACTTGCCAAGGCCAAAGCTGATATGGAGGCAAAAAAGCGATCACAGGAACAAGCCCAGTCCTCACAGGCACAAAGTCAAGCTACACCACAGCAAGCGGCCTAATTACAGAAGCGATAAGGCAATCGCCTAGGTCTTGGCGCGAAATCACCGGGACTTGTTTTTTATATTCCAGTATATGGCCTGTACTCGATCATATTCTTTGTACAATGATGTTCGGTATTCTCTTCTTAATGATATATGCTTCGTGGCTGGCTTGACCTTTTCTTTTACCGATGCATATTTCCTACGATTTTTTTTTTCCGGGTTTGCTTTCTGTTGCTAATGTCTTTTTTCTTGTTTGGGTGCGCGGGATTTGTTATTTATGTTTTTCATTCACCTCCTTCTCTTTCTCTATCTCCCTACATTATCCTTTCTTATTCCTTTGTCTCTGCTTTCTCCTACTCGCATTTGAGTGTTAGGGATTTTCCTTTTTTTTTCTTTTTCTTCCTCGGGACTAGTAGGAGGACATCACGTTTTGTTGGTCTTCATTTTCGATTTATTTCAATTGTCTCATTAGGTTGTTTTGTCTCTCATGGTCACTCAACCTCTATATTTCACCGCTGTACACATTATAGTACAAGCATCTCGTCCGCTATCCTTTTACTCTCCTTGGTATACAATTTAATATGGAGAGGGTGACTTGGATATGGGTCTGATGCTGTTGGTGATGACAGACCTCAGGTATACAAAGGAGATGTAGATACTAGATGTTATAGGCAGTCTATTATAAACCTGATGTCATTTGGATAAAGCACTTGATTTGTACCTGCGGTCACTCTTCAAAATTACTAGTGATAATATATGAGTGACATAAAATGCCACCCTCCCTCAATAGACACGATTACCAGTGGTACGAAATCACCAGGAAATACCTTTGAGTAGAAACCAGTTATTCTCCATAACAAAAGACTTAGGTGCCCTCCGATACAGGCTTAGCAACTTGGCGCGAATTAATGACACCCAACATACAATCCTTCTAAGCACTTTTTAACCCAACCACATGTGCATTTAACTACATGTGGATGCTATCATCAATACATGTAGCCTAGTCCATTCATTAGTTTAACGGTAAAAGATATGTCACTACGATGCCACGGATTTCTTTTTGTGTATATGTATCTAGGGTGCGACGCCTAAATGAATGCCACAGCAAGCAGAGCCTAAAGGTTCACGATCGTGGCGTCGTAATCTTTTACCGTCAATTTAAAGCCTCGTGAATGTATCAAAATCCGACTGACTTAGCTAGATAATGTCAACACCAAGATAAACGCGATTGACTAAGTAATATCAAATATAACAAACACTTTTACAAAGTACCAGCTTCTATATATGATTTACACCTATGGCTTCGCTAAACACAATATATTCTATCAAGCATCCTTGGTAAAAAAAAAAAAAACTTAAGCTCTGCTTGGGGTTCTTTGCGTCATGTGTCATCACTCGATCTGATATTCCCCTTTGTATCCCTTTTTTTTTTTTTTTTTTTTTTTGTTTAATTCATTAATTGCCCTTTGTATCCCTTCGTCTGTTTTCGGTATCCGTAGCTTTGTGTGACAGAATGACTATTGGAGAAGTAATCTGCGTATATGTAGCCTTAATCTCGCGAGAGCTGGTAGGGCGCTGCCCGGTAGGACCTGGAAGACTATTGTCGGTGACAAAAGTTCTCATTACTTTCGCATAGCAACCAGCAGAAATTGCCAACAACACTAAATCATAAAGTCGGTAATCGGGATTCATACCCAAAAGGCCTGTTTAATAAAATATTCAGTTCTCTAATCACACACCTATCTCTTTTATTCCTTTGTGGTCGTGGTGTTATAGTTGTCTTCGTGCAAGATCACGAGAATTTTTTGTCACCCAACAATACATGTACCCACACGGAGGAATGACCACTAAACTTTGGGCCTGACAGCATCTATATATTCCGTGTATGTGTTCTGGGCCACTGGCGGATACCTCGAATTCGTGAATGGACTGCTTTCTCCGTACACCCGGGACCGGACTGGTCCGTTGGCGAATGGACTGGGCAAAAGGTAGTGAAATTGACTCTTGGAACCAACACCCGAATTGCCTGGGCTCTATCAGAGGCCATATGGCTTTACTAGAGGTCATAGGGCCCAAATAAGAGCTTGCAAAGGTGCCTGAGGCTGATAGAGGCCACAGGATGTCACTGAAGCTCGCTAAAGATCTTGAAGGTGCTAATTATTATTCCAGACTCGATATTTAGGGTCGCTAGTCTTTTTTAGAGGTCTCTGGTGATTGTAGTAGTCGTCGGGGTTAATATAAATCATTATTTAGGGTCGCTAGTCTTTTTTAGAGGTCTCTGGTGATTGTAGTAGTCGTCGGGGTTAATATAAATCATTATTAGTTATCAGGTGTTGATATTAAAACAACAGTTTCCCCAGGCTGTTCGTGAATAGACTGGTCCTGTCACAGATGTATGAGCCTAGGAGTTCATTCACGAATACCTCAAGTCCGTTCGCGAATTTGTCAAGTTCATTCACGAATCTGTCATATCCGCGAATGGCCCGGAACATATGCTTACATGATTGCTAGGGATAAAATAGGGGACGCCCCGCCCTGGGGGTTTATATGAGTAGAGTAGCACTTTCATAACTCATTATTCGTTAAGGTTTATATGTAAATATTCGTTCAGGCCTTTTAGTACAGTCTTTTCGTTAAATTACAGGTTGAAAGCAACAGGCTACTCCACAACATTTCCATACCATTGAAACCGGCGTGGACCCGCAAAAACTTTATGACATAACCAGTTCTCCCGCCCTTGGCCTCAATCTTTATGCTCCGTAGTATTAAACTCTTTAAAAGCTTTCGTTCGTTTCATTAGCACTCTTTGATTCAATTCCATCGTTTTTCCTTGTAGCATGAACATCCTTTGGTTCAATTCCACGGCTTTCGCTCCACTTCGGTAAGCTCACCACCAGAACATAAGACCTGGAGATGGAGGAAATGCTGTACTGATTATCCCCGGTTTTCTCCAAGTATTCAGCCTTGTTGTTGATGTGTTCGATTGGCTTCAGCCATCCGAATTTCGCTCCTGCATGAACCTGGGTGCCTTTAGATAGTTTGACATCTATCCCATCGATGGCCGCACGGAGAGAATCGAGACCATTCATGTTTTTCCAAACTGGGCCGTCGAGGTCGAGAGGAAAGGGAGAGATGTTGCTGGAGAGTATAACAACTTTAGGATGGTTCCGAATTCTGTAAACAATTTTGAACTCCGGCTTGAGTCCGCAGGAGTCGATAAAGTTGTAGAGTATTTTGTCAATTGGCTTGAGAAAGTTTCGCAATCCGCCGAGCCCAAGGGAGGTCATTTCGCCGTCGATCTGAGCAAAAGTGTACTTGTAGTCGAGGCCGAATGCTAGAGTACCTCCGCCTTGAAGGAACTTTTTCTCTTTGAGGAGGCGCTTGAACTCCTTCTTAAACTCGTCGCTGTTCGTTTCAAGGTCTTTGCAGAGATTGGAAAGAATAAGAAAACCCTCATCAGTTATGAGCTTGTTGAGGGTAGGAGTACATTTTTTAGACTGGTTTGGTTTGGACATTTTGAACAAGTTATTATATTATTGGAATTGTAGTGAATGTAGGATTTTGTGGTGACCGAGTGCAGGGGGTGTAGAGGGTGGGCTCACGGGCCATCAATGAACTGGTGGCTGCTGTGCTGAAGACCGCTGAAGATAGAATGCAACCAAAACACCAGATCTTGCAATTACACCTACTAGCCACATGTACTAAAAACTTTACACAAAATTTGATTCACTATTTAAAACTTTAGTCTCTACGCCGAGGCAGTGATGAATCGCTTTAAATAATTGATTGCTACCCTGGATGAAATGTCGAAACTTGAAAGTTAGGGCGAGATGCGTTTCATTTCCACAACAAAATACATAGATTCATGGTTTATACTGGTAAGCGAGCCCCTTCAAGATAGAACTCTTTCGTTAAAGGGTATCTAGTTGAAATTTTCACTCAAGCTTGGCCACAGAAAAAACCCATCATGGAATATCACTCGGCTGATGACTAATTCCAATGGTCAATCCTGTCCAAGGGAACACAGGTCTACCAAACGAAAGATCCAATATGGAGGAAACGATGCACAAGCTAAATTGTTTGGTTAATCTATGAGAACATTCCACATCACTACAACATGTTCGAGGTTAAGGTACCACAAATAATCATGGCCATCCAATATGATCTGAACTTCCAATGCATGAACAGTAGTAACTCGATCTACTACATGTATTTGTATTACGCACTGTATAAAAGGGAATCTGCTTCTCATTACTGATAATGCAAGGAGGAAACTAGAGCTATCTCGGCGTAAACGTTCTTGATCAAGCTTCATGCTAATGACGCCAAGCCAGTAATGGATAGAGAAGGTCTACCTAATGCACGAAATGGAACCTAACAAAAATTCTGAAAGACCAAGATTATCTTAGCGGTCGTTTTGGAGTAGAGTAGAAATAATCGGAGAATAAATCACGTAACACAACCTTCACCGAGTGATTTGTTGCGAGAGAAAACCGGGTCCCCTATCTTATCTGATGAAAACAAGGCTAATCTGGGACTAGCGCCGCCCAACAACATTTTTCGAGCAGGAAACCACAGCCCGTCCCCGAATCCGCGCTGCGACAATCTCCTCCTCTTTCACCCTTCACCTCAACTCACCTCATCCGTTGTTGAGTTCCTTTCATCCCATTCTCCCAATATACCCCCAATCCCCTAATACTATACATCATGTTGGCACGATCAGTTAAGGCGGCCCGTTTGGCCACTCCTCTGCGGGCTTGCTACGCCCCAGCAAACTCGTTTTCATTGAGAAGAAATGTCACCACTGATGCCGCCTCTTCTCATGCGGATAAGGATGCTGTTCCAGCTGTGAGGATTTTACTTCTTTTCAATGCGATTCTTAATGCCTTTTTAATTCATTGGCTAATTGTTGGCGGTTTTGGATAATAGGAAGATGACAAGAAATTCACCGTCAACCTCTCCCCAGAGAGCTTCGAGAGCTACAAGATTGAGGGACCTAGTACTGAGGTGGAAGTGTCAAAGAACGACCTGAAGAAGATGTACTTGGACATGGTCACTATTCGGTACGTACAATTGTTTTCATCTGAAAATGAAGTGGTGGGCGGGGTACCTAGTAGTGAGGAGTTTTTGTTATCTGGGGTCCCGTTGTCGCAGCTAGTGGATGACTTGTACGCTTGGAATTCACGGAGAAATGATACTACTCATCCACCTACTCGATGGTGGATAGTTTATAAGCTCTGTATACTTCGATTCTGGCATCACCAGTATCGTAAATTTCCGTTGGGGGTTTATCTTTTGTTACGAGGGGCATGTGCTGGGATGCCCGGGTCCAACATTGAAGGCAACGCTGCAATACCAAGAAGGCTTACTAACAACATGGTTTTATAGACGAATGGAGATGGCTGCCGACAAGCTCTACAAGGAGAAGAAGATCCGTGGATTCTGTCATTTGTCCACTGGTCAAGAAGCTGTCGCCGCCGGTATGGAGCATGCCCTTACCCCTGAGGACCATGTTATCACTGCCTACCGATGCCACGGTTTTGCCCTGATGCGTGGTGCGACTGTTAAGAGCATTATCGGAGAGCTTCTTGGGCGACGAGAGGGGATTGCCTACGGAAAGGGCGGCTCTATGCATATGTTCTGCAAGGGTTTCTACGGTGGTAACGGAATTGTCGGTGCTCAGGTTCCTGTAGGCGCTGGTATCGGATTTGCCATGAAGTACTTGAACAAAAAGAACACCACCTTTGCCCTCTATGGTGACGGTGCATCCAACCAGGGTCAAGTTTTCGAGGCTTACAACATGGCCAAGCTTTGGGATATTCCAGTTGTTTTCGCTTGCGAGAGTTCGTCCTCTACTACTATCATTGTTTCTTAAACCTAGTCTCTGACATTAAATCGCAGACAACAAGTACGGAATGGGAACTGCGGCAAACAGGAGTTCTGCTTTGACCCAGTACTACCAGCGTGGACAGTACATCCCTGGTCTGAAGGTTAACGGAATGGACGTTCTTGCCGTTAAGCAGGCGAGTGCCTGGGCTAGGGAGTACACCACCAGCGGTAACGGGCCACTGGTTATGGAATTCGTCACATACCGTTACGGTGGACACTCCATGTCTGACCCCGGTACCACCTACCGTGTATGTTCCCCTTGTGTGTCTTGAATTGTTGGAATAGCCTAGCTTACAAAATATGTAGACCCGTGAGGAGGTTCAGCGCATGCGTTCAACTCAGGACCCCATCCAGGGTCTTAAGCAGAAGATCCTTGAGTGGGGCATTGTTTCTGAGGAGGACCTTAAGTCCCTTGACAAGCAGGCCAAGCAGTTGGTTGACAAGGAGGTTAAGGAGGCCGAGGAGGCACCCTTCCCAGAAAACACACCCAAGATTTTGTTTGAGGATATCTACGTCCGTGGTTCAGAGCCAGATTTCATGAAGGGCAGGACACTTGAGGAGACGTATGCAGCCCCCTTCCCCTTATTATATCTGAATATCTAGCTTACTGACTCGAAAACAGACACTACTACAGGGAGTAAAGCGGTAGATTTTTGGGTGACAATTAAAGTTGAGAGAGGGTCGTTGGCTTTATATTTGGGGTTCGGCTTAGCATTGTAATTTACTAGAATCAATGCCCTTTGAAGTGCTGTTTTTAGATTTTTTTTTTTTAAGTATTTGTTCAAAATAGGCAAGTTATTGGGATTCTGTTGCGGAACTTGCCGGTAGCTGCTTTGGCGTTGTCAAGAGTGGTTTTCCTAGGGTTAAGCACACAGTAATTGCTTGGTCGTCATCCTACTACTCATGGAATACATTAATCGACTTTATCCCTCTCCAAGGATACTCGTAAAGTTATTGATATATGTAGAGTGATGATAATATCACAACTCTAGTTTGTAATTCTTGTCGGCTTAGAGTTTCTTTTAAAGGCCAATTGGGTTGACTTCGAGCGTTTAAGCAAAATAAATACTACCTCACCTTAACATTCAGAATTGTGTTAAGCACAGGACAACTCTAGTAATGCCATTAGTATTTGTGTACTCAATGGTATTTCTTCTATACGAGATGATTTTTCGAGGTCGTTGATAAACAAATTACACTCTTGTTTATCGTCAAACTCAATCATACATACACCCTTGTATCACCGACTGTCGTCTCGTTGAATTAATACCGAGCAACGACCCTCACCTGGACTGACCCGAGGTAGCGAATGCACCTCACTAGAACCCCGCTATGTTGTTTATTAGTACCCGGATCGGCAATTAATTACTACTACAACTACCGCAATTCTTACCAAGTCAACAAATAAAATGTCCTCAAAGTCCGTTAAAGCTTCTGTCCTACACGGAGTGAAAGATCTTCGTATCGACTCTGTATCTCTCCCACCTCCCGGTCCTTTAGACCTTCAAATCGATGTTCGTTCAACGACGCTCTGCGGATCTGACCTTCACTACTATCACCATTATCGCTTAGGCGATATTCTAGTGAACTCGCCGATGGCTCCAGGACATGAGGCCTCTGGTATCGTGACTTCTGTGGGAGATTCCCTCACTTCTGACTGGAGTGTTGGCGACCGTGTCGCTCTCGAAGTTGGACTGCCATGTGAGAACTGTGATACCTGTAAGGGTGGGCAATATAATCTATGCGCTGGGATGAGATTTAGGAGCAGTGCAAAGTCGACACCCCATTTTTGGGGAACCTTGCAGGAGACTATTAATCATCCCGCCAAATGGTGCCATAAGTGAGTCCTGACATCTTGGGGACCAGTAATTTTGGGGACTGAAAGAAGCTTCTTCCTCGCCCACCTCACGTCTTGATCAGTGTCACTCATTGCATAAGTGTAGACTACCACCACATGTCTCGTATGCTACGGCATCTTTGCTCGAGCCTCTTTCCGTTGCTATCCATTCGACTCGACGTACACTTCGCAATGGTAGTCTTGCACCAGGGTCTACAGTCCTTATCATCGGTGCTGGAGCTGTTGGCCTGCTTGTCGGTGCTATGGCTAAGCTCTCTGGAGCTTCACGCATCATTATCACAGATATCAATGAAGGCCGGACTGACTTTGCTGTCAAGGAAGGCTTTGCCACTCAAGGGTTTGCACCAAGATAATTTAGCCTAATTGTTGGAGCTTCCAACTGAGATTCCTCAATCAAAACTAGAATCGTGGTACCTCCACCAGCAAAACGTCCAGAAACGATTGAAGAGAAGCTTGCTATTGCAAAAGAGAATGCTGCAACCCTCACCAAAGCCGTCGGCAGAGAGGGAAGTGGTGCAGATGCTACTTTCGAATGCACTGGCATGGAGACCTGCGTCCAGACTGGAATCTACGTAATATCCCAGTAAATCTTCCTCGTCCTGCTATGACTGACTCTTCCAGGCCACTCGCCCAGGAGGAACTCTTGTCCTGGTAGGGATGGGAGTCCCCATTCAGACGCTTCCGATATCTGCTGCTGCGCTCCGTGAAGTAGATATTGTTGGTAGTTTTAGATATGCGAACACGTATCCTGCCGGCATTGAGATCGTATCGAAGGGGTTGATCCCAAATCTCGAGAAGATCATTACACATACTTACCACGGGCTAAGCCAAGTTGGGGATGCATTTAGTATGGCTAGTAGACAGAGGGATGATGAAGGAAACTTGGTCATCAAGGTCGAGTGTTCTATGCCAGAGAAATGATATATAGATTAGCCGCTTTTATTGATAGTTATGTGGATGGTTTCTTCGCCTGAGTAGCCTTGGAAATTGGTTTATTAGACACATATTCGCTTATCTCTGGTTCTTGCCTCGTGAGGTTCGCGATGGTCTGGCCGGTTGCCCCTTGATTCTAATCGATGACCGTGGCTGGACCTCGACACAGGGGACGACTCCGTGACGTCAATCCTCCCTACTCAACCATAATTATGGTCAAGCTACTAGTGAAAATCATTATTCCTCCCACTTCTAGAATTCACAAGTAAACAACTAAATGTCTACTAGTCATGGCCACAAATCCACTGCCGAAGAAGTCGCAAACCAAAGACGCCAACTCATCCTCGTTGTCTCGGGCGAATCCAGCCCCCAGGTAGCAGATCGTCTCTCAGCAGAGATAGGTGTAAACTATATTGGTGGCACTAGCATCCTCAGGGAATGCAACGAGAACAGCGATCAAGCAAAAGTATGGTCCTCCATCCTCTTGGAGTGTAAGTGGGCCCTGAGCAGACGTTGATCGTATTTCTGTATAGGAGCTCGCAGAGGTATGTCAGAAGATCTCGGAGCACACGGGGATTGCAATCCTTACACTGCCCGAATACACATTCCCGCTGAAGCAGCTCAGACAGGCGGTGCCGAAGGATGTGGACGTTAGATTTATCATCTGCGATAATGATGATGGTGCCGGTGCATTGGAGGAGAGTGGGGTGAGTGGATGTCGGTTTTTGAGGGTGGTAGTGGATGAAGATCATGGGGGCGTCGAGGACGTTGTCAGAAAGATTGAAGCAGAGCTTTGGGGAGCTGGGTCCTAAGAGAGAAGGGACCTGTAATACTTGGATAGGAAGAGGCGTTCAATTATTAACATTAATTATTATAGTGCAAGAGATCAATTTCTAAAGACTGCTTCACAGAATATCATTCGGGGTTGGCATAATATGTGTGCGTCTAAGGTGTCTTTCGAAACCGTCTCGCGCCCATTCACACCCACAATAGTAAGGGCTTGGACCGAGCCACCACCGAAAAAGCAGGCTCCAGCACCCCCCTTCCCGCCGAGCTCGAAGCAACAAACACCCGTAGCCCCGACCAAACCCACTACAGATCTACGTTACCCGGTGCCGCAGCTACTAACTTACGATTCTTCCATCGTTACTTCGACCGAACTAGTAGCATCTCCCACCAAGGAGCTTCGATAGATGGGTAGCCTGAAGAACTGGTCATACGGGATGAACCTGACTCATATGCCTATACGTTTGCAAAGTTTGATCCTAGTCAGATAACGCTTGAAGGCCCACCAATAAAGAACTGAGAAGGGCAAGATTCCCTCCGGATCATCTGAGGAGATCATTATTTATCTTTATTCACTTGGTTGGTAGTCTGTACCCTTTGGTTAGAATTCTAAAGACGCGATTCTACTGTCTCGATCAAGTTGATGAGATAGCTCTCTATATGGTGCCTAAAAACTACCACATCGCTTGTTCGCTCTCTAATACCACAGAAGAAGCGAGAGTCCTCTCTATTCTTAGGTTCTATTCTAACTTAGATCTTCATCCGAAAAGGACATCTATGTTGTGTCTTCCCAGAGCTCTCAGGTGGACTGGAGGATATAACTATCACAACTGGAGCAAATCCTTACTGACAGCCTACTCCGCGAGGAGAAAAGTGATATCCGCTGGGATGAACCTCCTTAGAAAGAGGATTGCACCTTTTTTCCTGCTCCAAACCATGGTCGGCGAAACCCTGATCTACGCTCTCATAACACCAACTATTCCTCGCCTGATCCTCACCATTGAAGGTCGGCCACATGGTAGAAATGGGATCAGTGGATGCGTTGAGCTTATTTAGCTTTACAAGAAGGCCTTTACGTCCTGTTTAAACGGAAATTCCGGACAGGAACAACCGAGTGATAGTCTGTGACCAACACGAACCTCCTGAAGACAAATCCACCTGATATCGAGTGTGTGAGCTTTGCCTCAAATTAAAAAACAAAACATTCAGACTGTCACCGTCGCACCACTTTTGAGACCCTAAACGACAGCTGTGCAGATGTAACGACGGGCTACACAGCCCCGTACGGCTCTCTTTCGGCGCGAACCGTGAATACTAACCCCTACTGTAGCACTGACGATCACTGAAGCACTCCACGGGGTTATCATGGATACACAAGCCAGGAGGTAAGCCAAGGTCGGAGGCTAACAAAGCATCATCACATAGAGATATCTAGTTCCTACATTTGCTCCCTCGTCCTTGTACCATGGATTGAACGAGTCTCTATATATTCGAAGTATTCTACACCAAAAAGAGCCGAAATTTTAACCGTTGATCGAGTCCCTCGTCACCATTTTCAACCACCTTAGACTATATTAGATATCCTGCCGATGCTATCATTGCCTTCCTATTACTAAGCCTCGGACTGCAAAAACCTCGTGATGCTGCTGCAAGGTGGCGAAGCACTTTGCCTCGCAGATCAAGGGCTTAGCTGCAGATCATTTAACAGATTCAGGGAAATAGGCAGTGGCTGAGAGTGTACTACCAATTTCATAACTTTTCCGAACACGACTGCTATTGCGTGCCATACAAAAAAGTGCTAAATCTACCTTTTTGTATGTCATGCAATATTGGTCGTGTTCGGAAACGCTATGAAGCTACGAGTAGGCAACAGTTGAAGGTCAATGATAAAACTACATCATACTTACAACTGATAGTTTGTGAGACGTTGAGGTTTGACACATTTCGCCAGCCGCTGATTGTAATTTAGGTTAAAGATCGGTCAGGTATTTCTGCCTAGAATTTTCTCATTCTAGTGTTCCCAACGTCAAGGGTATAATGGGCCTATAAACAATTGGCATCTCGCGCTCCATGATGCGATTCTCGGCGTTTAGCACGGGTGTTTCATAACCCCAACTGCCAAGAACCCAATCTCCAGAAAGGCAAGTCCAACGTCCCAAGGTCTCAAAACTCAAAACAGATAGGCCTCAAAGGCACAACCTGTCATCGCCTGATTAGTGATTTCGAGATCTCCTCTCCACACAGCTTTATGCTATTCCCCGAGATGCGCATGTGTGCGTGGTATTTTTTGGGAGCTTGATTGATCTGATACTTGTTTCACTTCGCAGATCCAAGAGTATATCGATTGATCTGGCTGGCGGGCACATGTACTCTGCCTACTTACACTTACACGTCTTTGCGTCTAACACATGGTGTATCATGATCATGATCATGATGCCATGCGCTTATGCAAACTCGCACCTACCCTCCCGAACCAGGCGGTTGTAATAGAAGTACCCCCCTCCCCCCGGCCTTGTAGACGGGGCGTATTATTATATACATTACGGATAAACAAAAGATCCAAGCCGTCACGACTCACAGGTACGTATGTATTGGCGCGTACCCAGAGATAAAGTAGCATGTCTGTGGAGTGATCATGATCTATACCCCCATTGAGACGAATGGGGTTTCCTCCCCACACATACGTGCGGCAGCGGCTAAGAAAGCCCCTGGGAAGCAATCAGAAGTTTGGAGAAGCGAGCTGAGTGAGAAAGGCTTGCAATTGATCGATCAACAAGTTCCTGTAGGCAGTTACTCTACCTTGGCTACATGTATGTTGGTACTTGTATCAAAATATCAGCAGGCTGGGAGAGAGTGCTGTGGGATTAGTAAACAACAAATATCCGCAGAACCAGCTGAGCAGAAGGTGGGGGGTTCTCCGATGTGATGTTATTCATCAGGATTCAAGAGCCCTTTCTTTTAGACACCGACAACAGACAACACATCTACTTATAAACGGAGCTCTAATCACAATACCTTCAATGCCAAGCAAAGCATGCCTAATTACTCCATTTATATATGCAGACCAGGGTCACTAGCAACTACCTATTAAGTGTTATTACAGTAGCACTTTACTTTATCCCAACCACGCCCCCCCCCCCCCATGGCCATCAAATTAGCCAAGAAAAAAAATTCATGCTCGCGAAACCTGTTGATGATAGCTCTACACGCTTACCGGCGTAAGAACCAGAAAATGCAGTTGCTCAGGGCAAGGATAATTTGTATGGAGTGGCGTCGTTCTCTCATACAAATAACCCCTGTTTCCGTTACTTGCATTTTCTGGTTCTTTTGAGGGTAAGCTGTACACCTCAGTGCATATTCACCCTCAATGCAGCGGCGGGTCTTTAACCTAAAATCTGGGCTGCGTATGAGGTTGATTTGATGATTTGCAGTAACACACGCGTTCGTTCGTTCCGGATAAGACGGCACGCGAGCAATTGTTGAAATCGAATCTTGCATGCCGTCGACAATGACATTGCGAATTCCTATTTTAAAACACCCCTCCCGACGTACCCTTTTGAAAACATCACCAAACTTGTTTCTATAAACTTGTTTCTACATACCTGCGCATGCTCCAAAAAAGTTGTTGACAACATACCATACCAAGATCTCTCCCTCGCCAAGCTGAGCATGCTACCCAATTTCCTGCACGGACCCATTGTTACTCTGCACTCTAATATACGGAGACTAATAATATCTGATCGACCTGACCTGGGACGGATGGGCGAGCGAGGCATTTGACATCAACAATGTCAGGGGCGAGTTTCAAGGATCCCTTCTGGGCCAACGGCTTTTTTGTGCTAGATTTCGTCACCGCTTGTTTGGACAATATCCACATCCACTCTTTTTTTCTTCCCTTTCCCTGGGTGAGGGAGAAGGGAGAGGCGTGGGGCTTACGCAGCCCTTCCCCGCTGCCAAGAGATGTAGATTGAAATGCTGCGGACGTAGTGTTACCTAGAGGGGGGAGGGGCTCGCCCGGGCGGATGAGGTCCGAATTGATTGTGGAAAAGGGAAAGGAAAAAAAGAACAATTGTCCCGGGTTAGCTCTGTGTAGAGTGGGGAATATATTGGATTCGGGAGTAGGCGACGTACTCTGCGATGCGTATTCTCGCTCTTTACAGAATAGATAGAGTGCTAACTACAATATCTTGGGCATGAATGAGGGTTGAACGACATGTTTGAGGTCCTGGAATGCCACGCGGCTCGTGGAGGTTTCGTGCGAGAGGTATTCTAACTCTAACTCTGCTTTTGATAGCAGTATGTAGTCTAACGCTGCTTTGTTAGTTACATGTATGTAGGTTTGTTGTAGGAATTCAAGTGCTGCTGCAGAAGCACAAGAAGCACGAGACACAAGTTCCAGAGAAAAGAATGCGAAGATCATTACCCAAAGGGACTCCCCCGTATCTAGCGGCTCCCTTTCTCACACATCCGCGCCAGTGATAGGTAGAGTTTAAATTGCACTTTTGCTTCATAACTCTTGACCTCGTAACTTACATAAACAACACTTGATTGCAGTCATCCATCTGGAACACACAACATGCAAACAAACCCAGGTAAAAAAAAAAGCCGTGTAGTAGCGGGCAAAGAGGGGAAAGCAAGCAGAAGAAGCACAATACCTAAGCCATAGAAGAGAATCGGAGAGAGAGGTCAATCCCATCACTTACGTACTTGCCCCGGCCCTACCGACACAGAGACATAAATCGCCATACCTACATGTATCCAGATGTCAGTTGTACCAATCGCGACCACGGTCAGGGGGGCCTGGCCGATTGGTCGGGGTGGTGGGCGAGTTAGTAGCATCAACATGACATGGGGGGGGGGCTTTCCCAAACAAGCACCCAAGCACGAGAGGACCCTTCCCTCCTTTCACCCCTTCCCGCCTTCCAAGAGTTTGATGGGAGGAAAAGTGTGTCTTGGATGTTGAAGAAAAAAAGGCTCGGTCCGGGTCAGCCTTGCCCAAATGGAATTCTCCTGGATGCTCTCTCCTCACTCACTGATCACTGAATCTCTTGGATCTGTTCGATTCGTTCATTCGTTCATTCTTCTTCCTCCTCTCCCTTCCTCCGCCTACCTGCTGCTCCCACGCACGCACACTCTCGTTTTTATATAATCCGTCCGGTGTTCGGAGCTCTCCCTATCTATTAAGCTTGCTCCCTTTCCTTTTTTTTTTTCCCTTGCTGTCGTTCCTTGATCTAGACGGATCTTCTTTTTATACATATATATATATATATATCCACCTAGCTGGGGCCGGCCGTATTTTGCCTACTGCTACTACTACCGGCTACTACTATTGCCTGCTACTACAACAACCCAACCACCACCACTACTACAACTACCACTCGCCAGCCAGGGGCTTCTGTCATCATCCTTCCATAATCCAGGTCCAGGACCTTGTTAGACTAGAGGGCACGCGACCAAAGAGGACCGATCACTAAACCACCACTCACTCACTCGCTTTACTACATATAGCCATCACCTATCCCACCTCCAATTGCAGCAAAAGCAACATCATACTTTGAGTAGTATTGAAGGCAGAACAGCAAAAAGAAAAGAAAAAAAAGGGAGCGGGGAATTAATATTACCATCACTACCAATACACACTGCACCATACATACACAATGCGGTTCCATTCACTGTTACTCGGGATTGCGGCGTTGGGATCCATGGCGTCGGGGGCCGCAATAGTGGCGAGGGAGGAGAAGAAGCCTGCCGCCGCGGAGCCGCCCAGTACAAAGTATTTTCGTAAGTTCTGGTCCCTCCTGTTGGTTTCGTGGTGGTGAAAGTGCAGTTGCTGACGGACTTGTGTAACTTCTAGATGAGCCTGGGTTCGTTCTTTACTCTCTTTCGATTCCCTCCCATCTCTCCCCCAATGGGACTGTTTCGTCTCTCGTCGGCGTTTAGCTAACATAGTTCCAACCCAACAGCCGAAACGATCTTACGGGACACTACGATGTACGATTCTTCAAGGAGGTTGTCGAGTACGATGAGCGACGGGACACATTAACGCATCTCGCCAAAGCCTGGCTACAGACCACCGCAAAGGAAGGGATCGAGACCTGGATCGCCCACGGCACCCTCCTCGGCTGGTGGTGGAGCGGAAACGTCAGTTCCCTACTCCCCGGCAGACCTTCGTAACGGTTCTCGCTGACAGTGTTGCTAGATTCTGCCCTGGGACTGGGATCTCGATGTCCAGATGTCGGCTAACACGCTGACCATGATTGGCGAGAAGTACAACATGACACGGCACCACTACACCTCCGAGGACGGCACGGTGCAGCGCGAGTACCTGCTCGACGTGAACCCGTGGATCTGGCAGCGCGTGCGCGGCGACGGAAACAACATCATTGATGCGCGCTGGGTGGACGTGCGCAACGGGCTGTACATTGACATCACCGGCATCGCCGAGACGAACCCGGACACGCCGGGGATTCTCAACTGCAAGAACTACCACAGATACAAGGTGAGCCCCTCCCCCTCCCTCCCCCTGGGGGTATAAAGAAAGAAAGAACGCAGTGGACTGACTGACTGGATGTGATGTGTAGCCCGAGGATATCTGGCCGCTGCGTGACACAATGTTCGAGGGCGTCCCCGCAAAGATCCCGTACAACTTTGACGAGATCCTGATGAAGGAGTACAAGGCCAAGGCGCTCGTCGTGACCGAGTACGAGGGCCACCGGTGGAACACGCACACAAAGACGTGGGACCGTGCGCCGGAGGTGCCGGCCGGCCGCCAGGCGGAGAGCCTCCTGAAGACGGTCAGGGAGCCGGAGAAGTACTCGACGGTCGAGTCGGGCGGGTTCTTCTACAACGCCTTTAGGCTGCTGCATTGGTGGTGATCGGTCAGCTAGCCGTCTAGCAATCATCTACATCTCTCTTCTTCTTTCTTTTTAAAATTTCAGTTAAAAGCCCGCACGGGTGTTTTTTTTGCATGGTTATGTCCGTTAGGAAAAGATTTGGGAGGGTATCTTTTTTTTAAACATAGTATTGGTTTTTTTTATTTTGTTTCATGACACCTGGTTTGGGATTTTTTGGGTAGACGGGGAAAATGTTTCTGTATATTTTTTTTTCTTCTTTCCTTTTTTCTTTCTTCCTCGTTCCTCCCTGACCTTCATTTTTACAACTACAACTTGAGGAGGGGGGCAGCTCCTCGTTATATCCTTTCTTTTATTCTCTTATTGTTTTTTCCTACATTAATCCGCATTCATTGGAGGGGCGGTAGGTAGTGGGTGGGTAGAGGGTTAGTAGGTGTGCCAATCACTTCAACCGCCACCAGGCGGAGAGGAAGAAAGCTACATACTCGGATTTGGAGTTTTTTGACTTTTTTTTTTTTTTGGTGTCCTCTTTTGGGCTACATTTACGCACTTTCTGGCGCACACAGCAGTCAGGGACATTCATTTACAACTAAAGTAAGGGGGGGTGTTATATCTTTAATTTTTTCTTTTTTCTTTTCTTTGTATGTATGTTATGTAGTGTCTATTCTAATTCGAAGTAATCTACGGCTATCTGTGAAGCTATGGTGATGGATGGTGGTGATGATTGCTGCTGATGACGTTGGTGGATCGCCTCTCTGCCAATCCGGTCATTTCTTGGTATTTGCTGTGCTGTGTGCAACGGCCCCGCATAACTCTCGTGCACATACCCCATACCCCATACCCCATACCCACATATACGCTCTCTGCCCAACAAACTCTTAGAGACCGGACTCCCGCCACCGCACACAGGTAGAGAAGGCAGAGAGACAGACACAGCCCACAGCCAGCCAGCACAATGCCGGTCCCTCCCCTACGAGCCCGCCCGCCATTGGGCCTGCGGACAACTCCCGCACTCCTCCAGAACCTCTCCCGCAGCCCTCTTGCCGCCCGAACCTCCCCCATCCTCCTCCTCCGGCAATTCACCTCCTCCCCGGCTCCCCAACGCTACAACAACCACCGGCCCCCGTCCTTCTTTGCCCGCGCCCGCCACTCCTGGAACGACACAAAGGTCGAATGGTACACCATCCCCGTCGGCCTCGGCATCCTCGTCGTCGCCCTCTCGCACCTGCGCAAGCGCGACTCCTCCACCTCCGCCACCTCCGCCGCCGCCAATGAGGAAAAGCTAATCCGCCCCATGGGCGCCTGGCAAGTCCAAGTCCTGTCCACGCTCCCGCTCAAGGCGCTGTCCTACTACTGGGGCGTCTTCAACGAGATCCCGCTGCCGACGTTCCTGCGCGTGCCGGGCTTCAAGCTGTACGCCTGGATCTTTGGCGTCAACCTCTCCGAGGTCGGCGAAGACGACCTGCGCTCGTACCGCAACCTGGCGGAGTTCTTCTACCGCAGGCTGAAGCCGGGCGTGCGGCCCATTGATCCCCGTCCGGGGGCGGTGGTGTCGCCGGCGGATGGGAGGGTGCTGCAGTTTGGCGAGGTGCATGCGGGTGGCCTGGTGGAGCAGGTGAAGGGCATGACGTACTCGCTGGATGCGCTGCTGGGCGCGCCGGCGTCGGGGACGGATACGTCGCCGAATCCGGCGGAGCTGGTGAAGCGGAAACTAGAAGGGAAGAGCGTGGAGACGCAGGCGCGGTATGGCAAGGGCGGAGATGCGGACCGCGAGGTGACGCATGTGGCGAGTGATGAGGAGTTTGCGAATGTCAATGGTATATCATACACTCTTCCGTCGCTACTCTCGGGGGACAAAGACGCCCACAACGCCAGTGGTGACGAAACCCCACAGGATGTCTCACTCCCGCAACACACCACCACCTCCGCCGTCGCCACCGTCGGCCGTGATCTTGCGCGCGGGAGCTGGTGGAGCGGCAGCAGCGGCGATAAGCGCCTCTACTTCGCCGTCGTCTACCTCGCCCCGGGCGACTACCATCGCTTCCACTCCCCCGTCAACTGGGTCGTCGAACGGCGTCGCCACTTCGCCGGGGAGCTGTATTCGGTGTCGCCGTGGCTGCAGAGCCGCCTTCCGGGCTTGTTCACGCTGAATGAGCGTGTGGTATTACTGGGGCGGTGGAAGTACGGCATGTTCTCCATGACGCCTGTGGGCGCAACAAATGTTGGCTCCATCAAGATCAATTTCGATCGCGAGCTGAGGACGAACAGTCTTACGCACGATGCGACGAAGGCCGATAGCGAAGGTGGGTATGCGGAGGCGGTTTATCGCGGGGCGAGTGCGCTGCTGGGGGGACATCCGGTGCCCAAGGGTATGGAGATTGGCGGGTTTAATTTGGGGAGTACGGTGGTGTTGGTGTTTGAGGCCCCCGCGCCGGGCCCAGATGGGAAGAGGGGCTTTAGGTTCACGGTCGAGAGGGGCCAGTACATCAAGTTCGGTGAGGCCTTGGGTGTGGTTGAGGACCCGTGAGGGACCTAGAGGTTTTAAAAAAAATGTTTGTTCTTGTTTTCTTTCTTCCTTTCTTTGTATCGTATATATTTGTAGCTATGAACGTAGATTGTGTGTTCCTTAAGTGTTCTTCTTCTTCCCGGATTGGATGTATTTATTTGTAGCTAAGCTTTTGGTTTTGGTGCAGCACAGCTTTCCTTCCCCGAGAGCAGCAGTGCTCCTGTCAATGATCATGCTACAGGAAAAGCTCTCGTCCCGTCAGGGAGGTGTGAGTGTCAATGATTGAGGGACGGTGTCAATGATTCCGGCCATCCGATAACGTGACACAACCAATCGGGTATCACGCAGCTATCAGATGGCGCTAGCCATGCAGTGCCCGCCAGCCAGTGACGTCTTTAGGCCCGTTCCCTTCCGTTCCCACCTTCTTCTTCCCTTTCCCTTCCTCAGCCTCAATGAACCGTAACCCTACACCAACGGCGGCTGTCATACCCCACACAAACCAAAGCTACATCTAATCCATCCTCAGCTCGTCCACCAGCTCAGCTCTACCCGCAACTTCCTAGAAAATAAATAGCTAGCTAGCACTAGCAATTGCTCCCTCTCTATCTCTCCGTCAGTCCGGACGAATGCTGAGACTCGGGTCTCTGCGAATCCGGCCCTTTGCGACCAGGCTGCCCAGACTTCCCTCAATTGCAACGATAACCTATGGCCAGCGCGCGCTTCTGGCAAGCGTGCAGTACTCGAATAAGCTTTCGGACACATGGTTCGACTCATCACAGCCCCGCAAGGACCTTGGTGGGTCAGATGCCGACGGAAAGAAGCCCGTCGATGAGCGAACCTTGAACCTGGGAAAGAGTATGTGCAATTCCCCTCCCCCGCCATACATACAATTGAGTATTACAAAGAGCTAACGCGAAACCCCGCGCAAGCACAGCAATCCGAGTCCTCCAAGAACGCATGCCCACACTGCTACAATCCCCCCTCCCTAGTGAGATTCTCTCCCCCCATGTCAGCCTAGTGCTCTTCCCAACCACACACCCAAACTTGCCCACGGTTCGTGGGCGCCTGGCCTATATCGCAGCGCTATGGACTTCACCCGTGGCATGGGGCCGCCTGCCCAGCCGCGACCTCAGGCTCCATGTGCTCAGCGAGCGCATGCTCAACGGCGAGAGGTTAGTTGTAAAGTGGCGCACTACGGATGTCGGCGGTGATGATACGGTTGGCGTGCGCGGTGGAACGACGGCGGTGGAGCAGGGAGGGTTCTGTGGGATATTTATATTTGAGTTTGATGAGAAGGGGAGGATACTGACGCATACGATTGAGAATGCAGAGGAGGGTCTGGGCGGGGAGCAGCCGGGAGGGTTCATTACCGTGACGGAGTGGCTACTGGGGAAGGCGAAGGGACGAACGGAGGGTGGGGGATTGGCGTGGCAGTGCGAGAGGCGGTAGGGAAAGTGTTCCTTTCGTGATGAGCATGAGTTCGTGGTTCGTGGGGTCTCTGTCTTTCTTTTCTCTCCCCTCAATCGAGCACTGTAAATAGTAGTTATCCTGTTGGTCTTTTTTATTACTTTCTTTTGTTGTGGTTTCCGGTTGTACATTATTATCATTGGGTGTATTTCTCCAAAGCTGTGGTTGGCTGGTTAGTAGAGCTCGCCCGATTCGGATACTTAAGTAAACCCGAGGCTGGAGGTGTTTAAGCACGCTTTTGCCATAACCTAGCGCTTACCCGATCTGCTCAACTTAACTACCTCATAGAGTAGCTGTCATGGCCCGAGATATTTTCAGCTGCCTTCTCCACAAAATGTCGATCCCGAGCTTAAAGCTCGGAGATCGCTTCCAATACAGGTAAAATGCAGTATCGGGTTTGCCTTTGCCAACACTCGAGACAGTGAATTAAGCATCTTTTGCATGGCATGCATGCATGCAGCTCGCCAGCGCATGCTCGTAAAGGGGTTAGTGTGGAATTGTGCGTCATATGTTATCACTCGCTGCCGGTCTCAGCGTAAATTGACAGTGCCAACCAATAACGTGAACAAGCGGGATAATTCGCTTTTTTTCAAGGCAGAGGCTCGCCATTCTTGATGAGAAAAGTGATGTGTGATTATGTGATGCATCTGCTATTGGTTGTAGTGGATTCTCGTGCCGACAATGTGTCCGTGGTGGAAGAGGGGATAACCCGGGGTTGATGGAAATACCGCAGTTTCAAGATGTTTGCTTCTGCTGCAGCAATCGTTGGTGGTGTGTAGGCTCAATGCCAATGCCAACTTGCTGTGAGCGTGTTCTGAGCATGAGCCCTTTGTGATCTCGACCAGAGGTTCCGGCAGCAGTTCTGCAGAGTGACGGGCGTCATGCATGTTCCTATCATGGCAGAGCATAGATGATGTCAAGTAGAACAGGCAGTCGAGAGGAGACAGAACACCCATAGAGATATAAGTGTAACTGATGTGGCCACTTGTTATAGTTACGCGTCTGCCACCTCTCCTTACCCTAGCGGGAGACCAGATATCAATCCTGCTAAATGCCGGTAGGTACTCTACTTACATGTATGCGGATATGTTTCTCCGTCAATCACAACGCCATCATTTGTGCTGCTGCTACAACGCAAGGCATCTGAGACACTGTCTCAGCGATATTTTGTACATAGCTTGATTATCAAGCACGTGCATGCCTGCCCGATGGGGTGTTATGTATGAGCAGGAAAATCATGATCGCATGCGCGCGCAGCGAGGATAGCTCAAGTAGGCATACGCAGACTAACCTAGTACAGTTAGATAGGAAACTATAGAGTTCTCTAGTTTTCTGCGCATGCTGATTTTTCGTTTAGGGGGATGGTTGTGGGAGTGTATGTTCTGTTTGGACGAGTAGGTCTAGCGGGGTATTTTTGTTTTTGATGTTCGCCAATTACATCTTGTGCTTTAATTAATTGGAGGTAGCCACAGTTGGCCCTTGTTGTATTGGTGCCTGTACTTCTATGCCTAGCGATATTTTGAGATCATGAGCTATCACTCGGTTTTTAAACAAACATATATCGACTCGCTGCTGTCCTATTTCCATATAAATATCCTTATATCCATATACATATCCATGTAGATAGCTAGGCACTTCAAATAATTCCTCGTATACGATGGCCAACGTCATGCAGCCTTATACGAGATAGGGTCTATGGTTTAAACTTTGCAGTATCTCTCCAATTAAGCCTACTAACCAGTAGTATATCTTTTAGAAAAACCCAGTACAAGTATCTACTCCGTTGAAAAGACAAGACGAAAATACTCTCTCATATGGTAAGACCAATGATCAATCCGGATTCGTTTTGTATCATCTGAGAAATCACGGTCATAACATATCACTCGATTCTCGTAATAAGTCCTAGTTGGTATTTTTTTTGCTGAATCGCGATGAATTGCGTCTACGTTTTATACGTTAAGCCGGAGAAACTAAAGCTTTGGAATCCATATGTATGCCGATCAAAAATCAATCGCAACCTATGCGGAATGGTACAGCGATGGGTAATAAGTCATCAGACGGAACGCCACCAAATCCGCGTTTGCAGGCAAAATTGTGGCTAGGTCGCCCGATGACTTATTACCCACCGCTGTACATATCCAAATATTGTGCTTTGTTGAGCAGGAATGGGTTTGTACTGGATTGATTGATTTGGAGAAAACATAGTGTTTCTGACCGAGCTAGTAGGATACATGACAGATTAATCACCTAAAGGGATAAATGGAGGTGTGGGGACTGGGGGTTGGGGAGGGTTAAACTAAATATTATATCGATAACTACCCCTTGGGTTCACTCCATCACTCCATCACTCCATCACTTTTTGATATCCGATCATCAATATCGAGACGTGATCGATCTGGGCTATATATAGCTATTCTGCTGGGCCCAGATGTTGGTCTAAAGGCAGCACAGAGCTAGATGATACAACGCCCAGATTCACAAACGATATTCCGCTCAGCGAGATGAGACGGGAAAGTGGCCCAAAAGGCCTGATAAGAGTGATTTGATCGATAAAGATAGCAAAAGATGGTTGCAGTATGGTTTAAATAAACTAGGTAGGTGTGGCTAGACTTTATACAAGTGCACGTGTTAGATGCACCAAAAAACGAACTGGAAGTGTGGGGGGTCGGATGGCCTAGTGAGAAGGAGTCAGTCTGATACTGCTCATATACCACTCCTTCGCTATTATGAAGACCATGTAATATAAAGGTCATTATTCGAACTTCCCCGATACCAACAAAGCAGTACCTGTATCGGAGGGCGCATAAGTTTTTTATTCTTATTCTGGAGAATGACTAGCTGCTGCTCATTGTTTTTTGCAATCCTTCCCGGTGATTTTAGACTACCCCTATCTGTCTAATTAGGGGTTGGCTAGTGTTATATCACTAACACTTTTGAAGAGTCACTGAGATTAATGATAGTGGAGTGGACCGAGCTAGGAGAATGGTCACTATAGTACGATCTCTAATTGTTATAAAATGGCGTACCTAATATCTATTTAGCCTGGTAAGAGACCCGGGCTATATGGCTCTTGCATCGCACCTACATAATTTAATAAATTAAACAAAACAAAACAAAAAAAGCACCTACATAATTCTGTTATTCTACTAAAACGAGTGATTTTGTGTGACTGACAGATTTATCTATTTATTTCTTCATTATGTAGTACAGGCACTAGCTTATATAGCTTCCGGCTATGATAAAAATAGCTAAGTTAAAAGTATAGTCTTTCACGGTGTGTCTAATAAACATCAAAGCTTATCTAGGATCCCGCGTCTTTGGATGGACATGTAGACAGAATATGTCAGACCTTTGAGGAATAGGTCAATGATTGAATATTTGCCAAGGTTCTCCAACGCTTGTACTACACCTAACCCTACATGCGGTGACAAGGTCAAAATACTGCTTCTTCTTCCTATACTTCACATCTCTAATATAATTTTAATAATCTACTGTTAATTGATCCCTATCTTCTCATAAAACAGAATTTGACCGTTCTTTACCTCCAATATCCATCCATGTACTACGGACCAACTCTTACAGGATTGAGGCAGTCGGCAGCCTACAACTTTGAGCCAAACCTCCAAGTGCAGACAATTTTGGGTTTACTTTTACTCAGCTGATCAGTCCCATATATTACCATTTCAAGAAATGACAGAAGATCCCACCTGCTTGGAAGACAATCGCAGGTTGGGCATGCGCAGTTATTGTTCCTCGAACTAATACTCTCCGCATGAGAAGGCATGCATGTGTGACCATTAATTGGGCTATTGATTCGTAGAAGCTTTCGAGTGTAGGTACTGTTATTGTTAGCTTTTATGAACGGTCTCAAATAAAACAGCTAAGCGTGCCGGCTTCACCCTGTTGAAGCCGTAGCTTGAGCTATTGCTTTTTCGTGAACTAACCTTACTTATATCCAATCTACATGTAGCCCCATATGTAGCAAAGGTGGCTACGGGTACGCTAGCCGTGAGAGAATAAGTGACCCATCGTGCAAATGACATTTACATTTACTTCAATTCAGGTTGGGTGAAAATATTTAAGTCGGCGGTATGCAAAGAGCACGAGACCACATGATTCTGGCCTGTGGATCTAGACTAGGAGAATATCATAATTATGCAGGGGTTCACATTCTTAAACGCGATGTCGGTGTCACTTGGTAGCTGCACAGTGAAGTTTGTACTACTCTCGAATATGATATACGGATCTCTAGGCTCAAGGAACACAAGATAGACCCTACCTAATTCGGCCTTCGAAACATATAGCCAGGCTCGGTAATCGAACCGATGAATTGAATCATGAGGGCCATTGAGATTTGTTCGAGCTCGAGTAGTAGCTTCAATAGAAAGACCCCATAGGATATATGTGTATGCCTGGGATGCATGTGAAATGCCTTCGTACTAGAGCTTTTAATCCGCAGAACCGCACTTTGATGATCTGACCTATTTTGGGTTCGGTATGTAAGTGGGAGCGCTCGATAAAAGTTTTGAATACCGATCATAAGGTACAGGGCTAATTTAAATATATACGAGCACACCATCCCTCTAACCTGCATGATAAGTGTGCGGTGCATCGATATCGTCATATCTCAATGATACGGCATCGTCTAGTCAACATCCATCGATATAATCTCACATGGAAACCCGAAACTGAATATCTACCGAATCATTGCAGTCGATTCTCACTTTTGTAAAAGGCCATCGATGGCCGATTTCTCGATGCCGACAGCTTGGGGAGCGGCAAGCGGAGATTGCCGAGCCTTACAAATCCAGACCAGGACGTACGTTTTTATCGGGTTGGATATCAAAGTGACCGCCGACGGCCCGTACTCGCATAATTCTTACCATTAAAAGTGCTTACATGTAGGATACTTTCGCCCTATCGCACGTGTATACCCCCCACGTGTAGGTACAGATTCCATAAAGCCGCTAATCTTGCCTCTACAATGTGTGTAGGTACATGCAGGTAATTAGCTGCTTCAATTCTCACTCGGCCTTCGCATCTAACTTCTAGTCAATTTAGAGCGTGTTTCTCGAGAATTGTTGCCATTTTATTTTTCCATCTATTTTTCCCCATCTAATTCGATCATGTCCTGCCAGTACTTTTGGCACACATGCTATTTATCGTTAAGGATCATGAGATGGTCGATGGTTTAATCAACTACAATCCCTACTGCGGATAGCTCCACACTTCCCCGCATTCGTTTGTGAAACATCCTCCCCGCTCCCCTGGTTCACTCGTCAGCCCTTTTCCTCGTTTAACCCAACCCCGCACTCTTTAGATCGTTGTGATGCCGGTAAATTCTCGTCCTCAGATCCCCTAAGTTTTCCACGATTCCATTTGGAGAAACAATAAATTTTGTTGTGTTGTTGCGACATTCGGCAGAATTGTTTCTGCATAGTGAGTGAACCGCTTTAATTCCACCCAACGCCAAAGCAACAACAGTAGAGGCCTGCTGGAATTTTGTATTACGATTTTACACCAGTACTTTTTTCTTAAAACGAAAGAATCTCGTGTATGGTTGGATATATATCCGACCCGGTGTCTTGATGGGTAAAAGACATGGAGGTGCAGATTTTTTTGTGAAAATAGAGATGCAACCATGCCTTTGTGCCAAGATCGAGTGATATCCCATGAAAGCTTTCCAGTCATTGCGAATCGTTCAAAAACTCCAAAATGATATCCTACTCTGATTGGTGAAGGGGGAGGTTTGAAGTCTCTCGTAAAAATGAATTTTGACGGAGGAATGTGACCAAAATAGCGTGCTCCGGGAGTGTAACCAATGAACACTGCTAAGAAATTTTTATAATACGTAGAGTACGCACCCTTGTTCTTACGATGGCGATGTAGGGTCTCTGAGACCATCACATCCATTTCTGCCGATCTAAATGCACATAGAGTACTTTAGGAGGAATTGAGCTGAAGGAATTGTTAGTTGGCGTACGGGGACTTGATTCTTTCTTTACCGTGTGTTGCACAGCATTCTTTGAAAGAATTGAAACCTGTAGATCAACTTTTTTCTTCTTTCGCTTATTTCCTGGCGCCAGCCACAAGATAATTTTTTTTTTTTTGATTTTTTTGCTTCCGGTCCCGTTCCCGCTCATGGTGGAAGCGATACCGCCGGCTTATATAGCGGGCCAAGCCTAGGTCATCAACTTCATTGTTGTCCATACTGGAACGCGGGGTTCACTTGATCAATTGAGATGATTATGATACAAATTGCCGCGGAGAAGTCCTTTTTCAATGTGCCATAAACTCGTTAGTATGTAGACATGGCCGAAGAAGATTTCTTCCGCGAAAAGTTTGTGCTAGTGGCCTCTGCGTTGTTCTCTTTGGTCAAGGTGACATGATATGATCCGGTTGGTACTGAGGCTAAATAATTATCAAGCGTCTAGAGAATTGCTTCAAAATAGAGGCAAAACAAAGACTGTGAGTTTGAATATCCGTGACTCATAATTTCATGTCGGATGAAAAACTGATACGCCGATTATTCGCAACACATAGCAATTACAGGGCGGGGTGAGGGTTGAGGGTGCAATAGGGCCAATAGCAGGATAGTCTTAGGAATCCAACCAACCGAGTTCTCCCGAAATAAAAGACTGATGCCTTCCGTAGCGTTTTTGTTCATATTTGTTTTTTTTTCCAAATGATGCAGATGTAGAGCGGGAACGATGGTAGCGGCCACCTAAGGCTGCCAGTACCCGGATGGTTTTGAAGATTTCAGGGTTACAGCTTCTGCACCTTCAGTTGGGCATTGAATCGCGTCCTTCATCATTCTGCAGTATGTTGAGCATCGTGAGAGGGGTCGTTGTATCTAGATAGAAGGTACCTGCGGCTCTGAAGAGCCCGCAGTGGGGCTCACGGCTGGAGGGGAGAACAGCTCCAAGAATGCAGGCCCGAGGTTACACAAAGTCGCCGCACCTTAAACAACTGACCAAAGGGGTTGCTCTAAAGTCGGAAAGGGTCCACTAGAGATCTCGCAAATGAAACGCCCGTGATTGGATAAAAGAGCGTGGGGTGGATACTGTGTGCACGGTTCTCACAACACCAAGCAAACGATTATCGTCCTATGTAACTGTACATACAGCGGCGCTCTAATGGGCACTTGTAGGGACATTTCCCCGCTTTGATATCGAGGGTTGTTTGTCCTTGTTTTCACGTGTGCAAGATGTGTTCACAATCGAACCCAATTACAAAATTTTCACCCTCCACGGGTTATTTAAATTTTCATTTCAATTATTTAAAGCTGGCATACTTCCTCAGTCCTGTAGACCTTTTGGTCCTTTTGCTTCGTTTCTTGTATTTCTCTACCGTCCTAAGTCAAGAGGTTTCCCCGCCTTTGTACTTGATATTTTCCCGAGCGTGTCTCCCCTCACGGAAAAGAGAAAGAGAAAGCTATCGGAAGTGAACGTCATTTTTTCTGGAGGCTCCAACTGTTTGGGTTCCCTGCCCTACTTAGTGCTTTGATAGCCGCTTATCTTGCCTTGTTGCTAATAATTCTGACGTTATCTCACAGTCCCACCATTGATTCCCCACTACACCCTCCAGGAGTGAAGCTACTTGAAGCTCCCTCCCCCAACACCCCTCCTTGAATCCTATTTGCTGGTGAATTTGCACTACGGTAAATATACCCCCGCTAAGATTGGGCGTGCACACCAACCCCACTCCAAGATAGATCCTCTTCCATGGAAATATAGATATACCATCGCTTTTCCAGGTCTCTGTTTCAAAGTCCACACAAAGTTTGTTCTTGCGGGTGTTGGGATTGCAAAAGCTCTTGAAAAAAAAAGGCTCTTAACGCTCTACTAACGCACAATCTACCATAGACGAATTAGACCGATTTCATTCAAAAAAAAAATCAATTTGTGGTCTATCAGCAAGGTTCCACAGGTGAGAGTTATTCACTGTGGTATTTGACCAACTCGCCTCGCCTCGCCGAAGAATGGCCCCATCCTACGAGTCCGAATACGAAATCATTGAAGAGGAGCCTACAAATATCTTCGACTACCAGGACACACCTGAGAACCAGTCATGGGCTGGTACTTTACCACTCAAACAGGGTCTTTACGACCCTGAATTGGAGAAGGACGCTTGCGGTGTAGGTTTTGCTGCGTAGGTTCCCTCTCCAAATTTAAGATAAACTTCCGCTTACTATTCTTCCAGTCACATCAAGGGTGTTGCTAGTCATAAAATTCTCAGTGATGCACGAAGCCTATTGTGCAACATGACCCATCGAGGTGCTGTTGGTTCCGATGCCAGAGACGGTGATGGAGCTGGTGTCATGACCTCTATCCCTCATAAGTTCTTTGTGAAAGAGTTTACTGGGACGACGGGCTTTGTGTTGCCCCCACAAGGCCAGTACGCTGTTGGTAACTTGTTTTTCAAACCAGATGAAGACATCCTAGTTCGAAGCAAGGCAAAATTTGAGAAACTTGCGGAGCAATATGGTCTTCGTGTTCTAGGATGGAGAGATGTACCTCGTGACAGCACTCTTTTGGGGCCAGCTGCTTTGTCTCGGGAGCCCAAGATTCTTCAACCCTTTGTCGTGCTCAAAAGCTCTTATGGTGCGGGAAAGGAGCCGGAAAATACAGATTCAAGTTTCGATGAGAAATACTTCGAACGACAACTATATGTGCTGCGGAAAGTTGCGACCAAAGAGATCGGGCTTCATAATTGGTTCTACATTTGCTCTCTGAGCAACAAAAACATCGTTTACAAAGGCCAATTGGCACCGGTTCAAGTGTACACCTACTATCACGACCTTGTAAACGTTGACTTTGCGGTTCACTTTGCATTGGTTCATTCTCGTTTCTCCACAAATACATTCCCCAGTTGGGATCGTGCTCAACCATTGAGATGGGCTGCGCACAATGGTAAGCGTTTCCGGTGTTTAAACAAGTTCCATCAGTTATTAATTCGACATTAGGTGAAATCAACACATTGAGAGGTAACAAGAACTGGATGCACGCGCGTGAAGGACGGATGCGCTCAGAGTTCTTCGGTGAAGATCTCGAAAAACTTTATCCAATCATCGAAGTAGGAGGATCTGATTCCGCAGCTTTTGATAACGTACTTGAATTATTGGTTATCAACGGTGTTCTTTCCTTGCCAGAAGCTGTCATGATGTTGGTTCCCGAAGCCTGGCAAGACAATGAAGAGATGGATCCAAAGAAAGCTGCTTTCTACGAGTGGGCGGCTTGTTTGATGGAGCCTTGGGATGGCCCAGCTTTGTTCACATTTGCAGATGGAAGATACTGTGGTGCCACATTGGATCGAAACGGCCTGAGGCCATGTAGATTCTATGTAACTGATGATGATCGCATTATCTGTGCATCCGAAGTTGGCACTATTTTGATTGAACCGGAACGCATTGTTCAGAAGGGTAGATTGCAGCCTGGGAGGATGCTTTTAGTTGACACTGTTGAGGGACGCATTGTTGATGACAAGGAGTTGAAGATGCAAGTCTCTTCTCGCTTCGACTTCACAACCTGGACACAGGAGCAATTGATTACCCTTCCAAAGGTCCAACAGAGCTTGATGAGCTCTGGCGTAGTGCTTGATCCTGAATTGGACGATATCAGTATTCAGAATGATAAAAGATTGCTCGCGTTCGGATACACATTCGAGCAGGTCGGTTTGATTCTAGGACCGATGGTGAGTGACGATACCTTAATTTTTGAATGAAAATCTTCTAAATAAAAACTGCATAGGCTGCCGATTCGAAAGAAGCTCTAGGATCCATGGGTAATGATGGCCCACTAGCTTGCTTAGCAAACCAACCCCGTCTTTTGTACGAGTATTTCCGTCAGCTTTTTGCCCAAGTCACAAACCCTCCTATCGATCCCATTCGTGAGGCTGTTGTCATGTCTCTTGAATGCTATGTCGGACCACAAGGCAATCTTCTTGAAATTGATCCTTCTCAATGCCATCGTCTCCTGGTTCCTTCACCAGTTCTCTCTCTCCAGGAGTTCAATGCCTTGCATAACATTCAGGAGTATCATAAAGATTGGACGGTTCAGACGATTGATATCACATTCCCCAAGAGCAAGGGAGTGCCTGGTTATATCAACGCTATTGATGAAATCTGCAACCAAGCAAATGAGGCTGTCAAAGCAGGCTATAAGATATTGGTCCTCTCTGATCGTAACGCATCGGCCGACCGTATTGCAGTATCTGCTCTTCTTGCAACTGGAGGTGTTCATCATCATCTTATCCGCAATAAGGTACGCTCGAAGATTGCTTTGATTATCGAGACCGCCGAAGCTAGAGAGGTTCATCATCTTTGTGTACTTCTCGGATACGGTGCCGACGCTATTTGCCCATATCTTGCATTGGAATGTATTCTCAAGATGAACCGCGAGAAATTGATCAGAGGGGGTCTTTCAGATGAAAGAATCGTCGAAAATTACAAGCACTCATGTGATGGAGGTATCTTGAAGGTCATGAGTAAGATGGGTATTTCTACTTTGCAGAGCTACAAGGGTGCTCAGATCTTTGAGGCGCTGGGTGTGGATAATTCTGTCGTCGATAAGTGCTTCACAGGAACAGCAACACGTATTAAGGGAATTACATTCGAATATATCGCCCAAGACGCATTCGCTTTCCACGAGCTGGGATACCCAAGCCGTTCAATTGTCTCTCTCCCTGGCCTTCCGGAATCGGGAGAATATCATTGGCGTGATGGTGGTGAAGCTCATGTTAACGACCCTGTCAGTATTGCCAACATCCAAGATGCAGTGCGCACGAAAAACGACAAATCCTATGAAGCCTACTCTCTTTCAGAGTATGAGCAAATTAAGAATTGTACCCTACGAGGAATGTTGGACTTCAATTTCGAAAAGTCTAAGCCAGTCCCGATCGATCAAGTAGAACCATGGACCGAAATTGTTCGTCGGTTCTGTACCGGTGCTATGTCTTACGGATCAATCTCCATGGAATCTCACTCGACCCTTGCTATTGCAATGAACAGACTCGGCGGTAAATCAAACACTGGCGAAGGCGGTGAAGATCCTGAACGAAGTAATGTCATGGAAAATGGCGATACCATGAGATCGGCCATCAAGCAGGTCGCGTCTGGGCGTTTTGGTGTCACTTCTCACTACTTGGCCGATTCCGATGAGCTTCAGATCAAAATGGCCCAAGGAGCGAAGCCTGGAGAGGGAGGCGAGCTTCCTGGTCACAAAGTCTCACAATCGATTGCACGTACCAGACATTCAACTCCAGGTGTTGGGTTGATTTCTCCTCCTCCACATCACGATATTTATTCCATCGAGGACCTGAAACAGCTCATTTATGACCTGAAATGCGCTAACCCCAGAGCCCGCGTTTCAGTCAAACTTGTCTCCGAAACCGGCGTTGGTATCGTTGCATCAGGTGTGGCTAAGGCCAAGGCTGACCACATTCTTATCTCAGGACATGACGGTGGTACCGGTGCCTCTAGGTGGACTGGTATCAAATATGCTGGACTACCATGGGAGCTTGGTTTGGCCGAAACTCACCAAACACTCGTGTTGAATGATTTGCGTGGTCGTGTAATTGTGCAAACAGATGGTCAATTACGCACAGGTCGTGACGTTGCTATCGCCTGTTTACTAGGTGCCGAGGAATGGGGATTTGCGACTACACTCTAATTGCGATGGGATGTATCATGATGAGAAGTTTGTAGTCCTTTTTTTTATTTTTTACTTTCTTTCTGGTATGGTACTGACGTTTGCTTATCTAGAATGCCATTTGAATACTTGTCCGGTTGGTATTGCTACACAAGACCCAGAGTTGCGGAAGAAATTCACAGGAACTCCTGAGCACGTCATCAACTTCTTCTATTATGTTGCCAACGAGCTCCGGGCCATCATGGCGAGATTAGGATTCAGGACTATCAACGAGATGATTGGTCATTCCGAGAAACTATACGTGCGCAAGGATCTTATGACTGAGAAGACCCAGAACATTGATTTGTCCTTGATCCTGACTCCCGCTCACACTCTCCGTCCCAATGTTGCAACTTACAACGTTCGAAAGCAAGACCACAGATTGCATGTGCGCCTCGACAACAAGTTGATTGATGAATCAGAGTATACCCTTGACAGGGGAGTTCCAACTCGCATCGAGTCAGATATTGTCAACACTGATCGTGCTCTTGGAGCGACGTTATCATACAGAATCAGTAGGCTGAAGGGTGAAGCCGGTTTGGAACCAGATTCGGTACATGTCAACCTAAAGGGGTCTGCGGGTCAGTCATTTGGCGCTTTCCTGGCCCCAGGAGTAACATTGGAGCTTGAAGGGGACGCCAACGATTATGTTGGAAAGGGACTGTCTGGTGGCAGAGTCGTCATCTACCCACCGAGAAACGCCTCATACAAAGCAGAGGAGAACATAATCGTTGGAAACGTGTGCCTTTATGGTGCCACTTCAGGTCAAGTGTTCTTCCGTGGTGTCGCCGCTGAACGTTTTGCCGTTAGAAACTCGGGTGCCACTGCTGTAGTTGAGGGTGTTGGTGATCATGGTTGTGAGTATATGACTGGAGGAAGGGTTCTTATTTTGGGTGAAACCGGTCGCAACTTTGCTGCTGGTATGTCAGGTGGTATTGCCTATGTTTTGGACATGAAACAGGATTTCCGCTCGAAGGTGAATATGGAGATGGTTGAGCTCTCAGACATCACCGATCCCTATGAAATCTCTTACGTCCGCGGTCTTGTTGAGGATCACTATCAATACACAGGCTCTGAGCTTGCGAAGAGGGTTCTTTTGGACTTTAGAAGAGCGCTTCCTCGATTTGTTAGAGTCCTTCCTACTGATTATAAAAGAGTTCTTGAGGAGGAGGCCCTCAAAGCAGCAACGGCAAGATCATCTCACACGCCCTCTCTACTTCCTGGGAACCCAGCTCGTGAGCAGCAAGAAAAGTTACTGGCCAAGGCAAAGGCCAAAGAAGCGGAGGCTAAACACAAGCACGAAGCGCCTATGACCGATCTTGAAGACAGCATAACAGACGCCAAAGCGGAGAAAAAGAAGTCTGCGCTCGTTCTTAACAAAACGAAGGGTTTTATGCTATATGCTCGTCGTAGTGAGAAGTATCGAAACCCGAAGACTCGAACCAAGGACTGGGCAGAACTCTCCAAACGTCTTGACGAGGATGAACTCAAATACCAGTCTGCTCGTTGTATGGATTGTGGTGTTCCTTTCTGTCAGAGCGATACTGGTTGCCCTATCTCAAATATTATTCCAAAGGTTACTCCCTCACTTAGAATTCACTTGCTAGCAGTTGGCTAACTTATTACAGTGGAACGAGCTTGTTTTCCAAAACCAGTGGAAGAATGCGTTGTACAAGTTACTTCAAACAAATAACTTCCCCGAATTTACAGGGCGTGTTTGCCCCGCTCCTTGTGAGGGTGCTTGTGTCCTCGGAATCAATGAGGATCCAGTCGGCATCAAGAGTATCGAGTGTGCAATCATCGATCGTGGTTTCGAGATGGGCTGGATGGTCCCCACTCCTCCGAGCATCCGTACTGGGAAGAAAGTTGCTATCATTGGATCTGGACCTGCTGGTTTGGCTGCCGCTGATCAACTCAATAAGGCTGGCCATTCCGTTACAGTCTATGAACGTGCGGACCGCCTTGGTGGTTTGCTAATGTCCGTATACCATATACTCTTTCCTAGTTTACTTGACTAAAATAAATTATAGGTATGGAATCCCAAACATGAAGTTAGACAAGTCTATCGTTCAGCGCAGAACCGATTTCATGGCAGCAGAAGGCATCAAATTCGTTACAGGTGTTCACGTCGGTCAAGATATCACAATGGCCGAGATTCAATCAGGAAATGATGCCACTATACTTGCTACTGGTGCCACGGTTCCTAGAGATCTCCCTATCCCAAATCGCAATCTAGAGGGTATTCACTTTGCCATGACTTTCCTACATGCCAACACAAAGTCTCTACTTGATAGTGAGCACAAAGACGGCGGGTATATCTCGGCGAAAGACAAGGATGTCATTGTCATTGGTGGTGGTGATACCGGAAACGATTGCATTGGTACCTCAGTTCGCCATGGAGCCAAGTCTGTGGTCAATTTCGAACTGCTTCCTCAGCCACCAAACGAAAGAGCCCGTGATAATCCATGGCCCCAGTGGCCTAAGGTTTACAGGATTGACTACGGTCACTCTGAGGTCAAGGCTCAATATGGAAAGGATCCACGTGAGTACTGTGTCATGAGCAAGGAGTTTGTTAGCGATGGAAAGGGCCATGTCAAGGGTATCAATACTGTCCGTGTTGAGTGGACTAGAAGCGCTCGAGGTGGTTGGGATATGAAGAAGGTCGAGGGCTCAGAGAAATTCTTCCCAGCAGACCTTGTACTCCTGTCCATGGGATTCTTGGGGCCTGAAGATCGGGCCTTGGGCGATATCGAAAGAGATCCTAGGAAGAACGTCAAGACTCCCCCTGGAGGTTATTCAACTTCGGAGGAAGGTCTCTTTGCAGCTGGAGATTGCCGCAGAGGACAAAGTTTGATCGTCTGGTAAGTCCAACCGCCTGAAAATTTTAAATATGCCATACTAATAGAATATAGGGGTATCAATGAGGGAAGGCAATGTGCTCGTGAGGTCGACCAATACCTCATGGACTCTACACAACTTCCTGTCACCGGAGGGATTGTACTTAGAAACCCGCACCCTGTAGAAATCCTCGAGCGAGCGGAAACGGCATCTCTACAAACCATTGCAATCGCTGCTGCTAGCTAAATCTTCACAAGGCAAAGGAAAGAAGAGGGTAGGGCTCAAATTTTGTTTTCTTACAATTTTTCTTGGGTGATAACGGGTTTATTTTCTTTTTTTTCTTATTGTTGATTATCGAAGGGTGGTTGAGTCGGTGAATTAAAAAAAAAAAACAGGGGTAAAAATCAATTTATTGTTTTTTCTTTGGGAAAGGAAGGGTACGGGGTTTTATACATAGTTTCTTTCGGTTGTTTGAATTCAATTGTTAAGTCTTTTCCATATGGTTTCGCATTCTTTTTCTCCTGTTTGCCCGCTAAAGTTATATATTTCTCTCGTTCCCCTTTTGTTTATTTTATGTGTATGTGTGAAAATTAACGAAGATGTTTGAATGTAATCGTGACGATTGACGTTTGAATCTGCATGAAATATCACTCGGTGCCTATTTTTTTCGACTTGTGCTTCAAGGTCGACTCGAGCCCCTAACCCGTGACAGCACATTGCTATACATACCGGCTCTTATTTAGAACCACGATGTATGCTCATCTCTTTTCTCGCACGGTTGGGGATGGTGAGCGGAGCTCTATCTGTACCATGTCCTAATTGAGGGGAAATGATACCTAGCTCACCTGGGCTGGGCTTGGCAAATATGATCTAATCTAATCTTGATTTAATAACCAGGGTTAGGTTTTCGGCAGCACCAACCTGAGCTCGAGGATTGTATGCTATCGCTTGAGAGCGGGCTGGTATCTGTTTGTGAGCGATAGCAGATGTGATAGCGGATGTGATAGTAAGGTACGCGAGTTGACGGGAGTGATGACCGGATGGTAGGTAGCCTGCAGGGGCAAAAGGGAACGGAAGGGGAGTAATTAATTAACACACTTCATGTCATACGTATACCATCTCAAAAAACAAAACAACCGGATATATCATATGTTGCCCTCCAAGCTTTCAGCCTTCATCTCATTCCTCGTTAAGTAGATCTCCGTAGTCTCTTTCTCTTTCCGTCCTTCGATATTATCGCGGTACTATCAAATGATCGTGATAGTTAGAGGCTGGCTTTCCTAGTGACCTTACCATCCCAAGTCCTTGCTCGCAAAACTGTTCAAAGCCTTGCCACATATACCCAACAGATGAAGACCAGGCATGTGCAGCTTTGTTCAAAATTATAAAGGTTCTAGGCACAGAAGTCTCATTTCTTAGTGGATTAACAAACACAGAAAGATTGATCACAGACTGTCACTCGCCACATTCTTTTCTCGTAGCTGCCCCGTTCACTATTGCTAGAACAGGCAGATCTTCCTTGCATTATTACGCATGTATCATTATCCCTATCAACCAATCACAAAAAGAAGTAAAAAACTAGTAGTAAAAACCAACCCAATATCGTACATTCCGTCGTCCACTAAAGAAAAAAAATCTTTAAAAAAACACAAAAAAGTTAAGAGTTAAAAAAAGGTATCCTATCACTTCCCCCACTGACAACTAGTTATCCGTCTTCAGAATGGTCTCCACCATGTCGTTCAACGGCCCATAAAAGTCCTTTCCGGACTCGAGATCAAACTCCTTGATGAAGAGCACATAGTGCTTGAAGCTCGTGTTCATGTGGGGGTCGAGCCCCAGCGCCACAATGACCGGGTAGTGGTGGCAGTAAATGTGCGCATAGACACGGAAGAGACGCTTGACGAGCTGGCGCACGGTGGTTTGGAAGCTCTTGGGGAAGTGAACGCCTGTTTAAATTAGTAAATAGCATGGAGAAGGGGGGGTAAGGTGGTAAGTGGGGGGTGGTAGTACCTATCCTGGAGGGAAAGACGGCCTCGTTGTTGATGTAGTCCTGTACCCACGCCATGAGGTGCTCGATATACTCCGGCGCCGGCATCTTCGTCGGCTTCCTGAACTTGCCCGAGTCCTGCCAGAGGTACTCAAACCTAGATCACACCCACCCCATCAGCACCACGCCCAGTAACCACCCCAAGGAGGGGGGGGGGGGAGCTCATACTCGTCCGTAGCTTTCATCTCCGGACACGTCGTCGGTGAACAGAACTCGGTGATAGATCCATACAGGAGGTTGATCTGGTTGTAAAAGTCGACGACTACACCTCCATTAGCCCTCTTCATCTCCCTTCCCCTATCCCCCCCTTCCTTTCTACTAACCGTTGACAGCAAGCCACTCATCGATATCCTCCCCCTCCGGAAGCTTCACAACCTTCCTCAAGCTCCCCGAGCCGAGTGTCTGCTCGGCATACTGTCTGAGCTGGTAGGAGCTGGAGCCGCGGCTGGAGGATTTGGGCTTGAAGGGCGCACGGGTCTTCTGGTTTCTTCCGCCGGCGGGATTGCTGCATGGATCGATATTAATGTGAGTTTCCTAGCTAGGTAAGGAAGGTGGGGGGAGGAGGATGGGAGGAGATGGTGATGGGAAGACAAACACTGTATTGTTATTCATGAATGATGACAGGGTCTGTATGGCTAGGCTTTTTCTTCTTTCTTGGCTGCTGCTGGTGGTGCTGCTGACTGGAGGTGAGAGCTATCTGTTGTGGGGAGGTGGGGATGCTCAGCGGGGTGACGTGAAGCGGGTGGATAACACGAGCGAGGATCACCAGGGAAACCGTTGAGTGGGCTTGTTTATCCATGCGAGTCTACGGGGGATACGCGAATCACAACACAGCACACTCTGGAATGGCTTGGCATTGAGCTAGGTGTATGAATAGCTTGTTTGGACATCGAGCTCACTTGTATGGCATGCAGGCAGGCGTAAGGGTTTCTCCGTATCCATCCAGGGATAACTGCAGACATAAATATTGAAGCATTTAGAGTACAGAACTGAGGAAAATGTGAAAGAACAACCAGCTCAAAAGTAAGTTTACAGATACCATAGGAATAATGAAACTAAAATTCCAGAACACTCCAAATTCCCACTCCTCCCCAATATTCCCCATAGCTACTCTACCGCGGTATAGATCATTAACAACACGCTCTTTCATCATCATCTTTGGAAATCTCATTTTTGTAAAGAAAGTAAAATAAAAAACACTTCATGAAAAAAGAAAGAAAAGTTAAACGCCTAGTGTACTCAGCGACAGCTTTCGAAGCCTTCAACCCTACGCAGCAAGAATGGGAGTTATCTAAACACACGGATTAGATAGGAAACCCCTAAGCCGCCAAGGAGGATAGCTCTCTTGCCCTGCGTGCAATGGCCGGGATCCTGCGGAGGATTGGGTCCGCCATGTTCTGCTCCGCAGTGCTCATGTACAGCTGCTCGAGCCTCTGAACGACAACAGCCATAATCCTGTGGCAAATCTCATGGATCTCGGGGTCCTAGATAACAACGTTAGGCTCAATTCCTAGAATTATGCACAGCTACAGGGGGCGAATAGTTACCATAGGGTCAAGAACAGCCAAAACACCTTCAAGCCAGCTCAACCTCTCAAAGACCTTGTTTTCGAATTTTACGCTGACTGCAGCAGAAACGGACAGCAGCACGAGTTGACTTAAATTTGGTAGGAAGTCATATCTGTACCTCACAACCACTTCATCGAAAAGTTCCGCTTGACGTTCCTTAGATTGAAGCCACTACAGAAGGTTCTGGTTAGCTTATGCCCAAATTTTAATCTTGGATAGTCCATATATTTACCTTGATCGTCCCCTCCTCGTACTTTCCATTCCTAAGCAGACTTTCAATCTCTTGGGCTTCCAGCTCTTCAGGCGAAAGTTGTGGTTGCGGCGGGGTAGGAACCCTAGCATGAGCGTGAACATCTTGTTCGCCACTTGTCCCTCCTTCATATGCTTGGACATACTCCGCTTGTGCCCTCTGAACCTGCTCCTGAAATTCGTTTTGGGATTTCGCCATGGCTTGGATATTATCCGACATTGTCTTGACCACGTCTACAAGCCCCATGAGCTGATCGATCTTCTGGGAATCCTGTTGGTGAATACGTTCCATGTTTGCGATCATCTCGTGGTGCTTTCGTTCCTGCTCCTTGATAATCTTTTGGGCCCCTTCGATGGCAATTTGCTGGAATGCCGGAATGATGGCTGTCTGCATGGATCGGGACAGCTCGTTCTCAACTGCCTTGCTGAGAGGCTTTGCAATAGTCTCCGCAAGCCTAGCAAGGAACTCGGGCTGGGAGAGGGTCCTTCGGAGAACATCTGGAATCACGGCATGCAATTCAGCTGGTACGGCATTGCCCACAGACCTAGTGAGACTTTCTCCAAGTCTTCTATCAATAGCCTGAGATGTAACATCCGCAATGGCAGGCAGAACAGTTCCTTGAATGTTGTTCATGACAATTCTGCCGATCACTTGCTCAACATTTTCAGTAAGAGTGCTCGAGAGGAGCCTGAGGATAGCATCCTGCTTCGCATCACCGGCAGCTTGCTGAATCCGCTTATCCTCATCAAAACGACGGTCTAGGAAGTATTAGCACAACCACCCCACAAAACAATAATATCATCAACTTACAGAGGGATTCCAACTCCCTACTCATCACCTTCGAGAACTCAGATGAAACTGTCTTCTCGATCTTTTTGATCTCACGATCCAAAAATGCGGATGAAATAGCAAGGCTCTCATTTTCGCCAGGTGGTGGGCTCCTCACAGATGTCGAGACATTCCTCGAGACATCACCCGATGAGCCAGACGGCCCATTTGCGTTACCCTTGTCCTTTCTCTTCTTCTTTACACTTCCATTAATTACAGGTGGCTTCTCCTCAGCGATGATGGGCGCCTTAGGGCTCAACACGGGACTGACAGCCTCTGATTTTGGTAGTGGTACGTCCGCAGCGACGTTTTCGGGCACCGATGGCACAGACTTCAATCCCTGGGGTGCTGGAGGCTCGGTAGGTTCAACTTTCTCGACCTCGGCCCCCTTCTCGCTCTTGCCATCCTTTTCAGAGGTCGATTTCTCGCTGTGCTCTGGAGGTGGTGGTGCCGCAAGGGCAGAAAGAGAACAGATGCCGGCCTTAACTGCATCAACGGAATTTTTAACGCTGTTTTTAGTGTCCCATCCAAGATCCTCCCTGAAAACGCTCAAAGTGGTCATTCCTTTGCTGTGTGCGATATAAAGTTCGAACAATGGTGGAACCTCTCCTTGAGGGTCAGCTTCAGACGCATCAAGGATATCCAGACTCATAAGCTGTCCTTTAGAGGCGAAGGAATATTCCCTAAGTCCACTGAGAATAGCTGTTGCATCCGGTTTCGGAATACTAGGGTCCTTAGCAGCAAGCCCAGCGACATACTGTGCTTGAGACATGAATGGAAGATTGTACTTTGGCGCCGACAGGTGAATAAAGTAAATCGAATTTCTAGTCGGGTTTCCAACAACGATAATACCGGTCATTGGATGATAGACAACTGAACACAATGCATCGGTGTCACTCTCCTGGGGAAAGTTGATCTCCTGAACAGGTCGGCTTAGGGCAAGATCCCACAGTTGAAGAGTGTGGTTTTGCTTCATCCCAACGATGACATATCTCAGAGCTGAGCATTTATGGTAAGGCCTGTATTTATCCAAGAACATGACTGAAGTAGCCCTGTATGTTTCGCCAGCGGCCACGGCAGAAAAGTATAGGATCGGGTTTGTCTGTACCATGGGTGGCTGTGCGGGGAAGACGCTCTGCCCAGAGCTATAGGCAGCATTGTCGAAGTTAGTGAGATCCTGAACATCCCAAAGCTTCAGTTTACCAGCTTTATCAATGGAAATGATAACAGTATCATCGTCAGAGAACGCGAAGTCTTTGGATGCCTTCCCGGTGTCAATCATGCGTGTGTGATCCGCAAGATACTTCTTAGACGCAACCTCAAAGCCTCTTCTTCCATTGGCGTAAGCCTTCGCAGTCGGGGCGTGGATAATGCTGATCGTTTTGCCCCTACCAATCGCAAATACATCGAGTTGCCTTGAGGTTCTTCTTGCACGTGACTTCAAAACGCCGTTGCTCTGACCCTGTTCCTCACTTGGGGGAAATACAAACATGCAGTTCCAGTCGAGGCCTTCAAAGTCGCCACCAAGCTCAGCCCAAACCACCGCCCCGGAAATTCCAGTTCCCAATACTCTATCTCCTCTGCTAATAGTCACGTTGAAAGTACGATCAGGGCAATCCTTCATCAAGACTTTGTCCTTGCCATCATATTGCCTGAGTACCCGAATTCCACCACGGCCACCACTTTTGCTAATTGCATATACAATGAACTGGTGAGATGCAGCAATGAGATTTCGATCAAGCTGGTCGAAGGTCCTGGGCATGCGAGCAATATCCGAGATCTTGGACCTTGGGAAGTTCAAACGCTGGATGGCGGCAGGAATAATTGTGATTGACGAAAATGGCTTCATGGGAAAATTATAAACGATCACAGGGGAGTCTGCAGACGCAGTCTCAGATGCCGATTCGTAATCATCCTCCTCCTCCTCTGGCGCTCCTTTGGGGGCAGGAGCCTTCTCAGTCGGCTGTTCCTCTTGAGGTTGTGTCTCCTGGATCTGTGTCTCTTGAGGCTGAGTGGGAGCCGATTGCACGAGATCTTCAAGCCCCAATGATTTCAGAGAATGTTCAAGGATAGATTGCTTCTCTGCGGGTGTCGCAGATCTGTTCTCAGCCTGCTGTTCCAACATATCGTCAATCTTCTCCATTAACTCGTCCTCTTTTTCTAGCGCTTGGTCCAAGGTGGAAGCATCTCTGGCTGCCTCAGCTTCAATTGCAGCATTTGGAGATGGTTCTCCCACTACTGGCGAGTTTGTGGATGAGTAAGGTAGTGGAATATTCTCGGCTTTCAATTCCTTCAAGCCAGAAGCACTCTTTCTCCCACCTGGAACAGGTGTTGAGCCCCTTGGAGTTCGATTACGGGGACTAGTGGCATGTAGTTGTTCAAATGGGTTCACATAAGTGAACAGGCCTTTACTTGGGGTAGGGGTGGAGAAGGGCATTGAATTAACATTGACTTCGGGGGACTTGGGTGGCACAGCTGGAGGGACAGACATTGGGCGGCCATCTGGTGTAATTGGCGACCTTGTCGTTGCAAACCTAGAACTTGGTGAAGGACGACCATTCATGGTGGCGGGATCTGCAGAGCCATTGCCCCCTTCCATCGTTGCAGCATGAGCTGCCATATCATCCTGTGAAGGTTTAGGACGGCCAAGGAGCTGAAGAACAAGATCTTGGGGGTTTACAGGTCCTGGAGTAGACTTCCTCATAGATTGCGAGTGCTGCATCTCTGGAGGAAGCTGATCCTGACGAATATTTGGACTATGAGATGGCTCTGTTGCAGAACGCCTCAATGACGCCATAAGGTCGGATGCAGAGTTACGGCTACTAGACGGCTGTTGGTGGGAAATTGGAGGCGGGGACACAACAGATGGCCTTGGAGGCGGTGATGCGATCATAGGCTCCTGTAAGGTTTCAGCTACGGGCGCTGCTGGAGATGCCTGAAACTTTAACAGTTGCAGAAGACTTGCAGGCCTTACTGCATTTCCACTCTCAAAAGATGGAGGAGACATAGGGTTTGCATATGGCGGCAATGGAAATGGTGGAGGCGTCTGAGTGTTACCCAAATTATCTGAGGACACCTGTGACATAGAGAATGTGCGCTGAGGCTGTTGCTGTTGCGGCGGCAGTTGATAGGCAGACATCCCAGACGGTTGTTGGTGGGGCCCTGGACTACCTAAGGGCTCAGACTGACGAAGGTACTGCTGCGCAGGAGGAAGTGAATTTACAGAAGGAGCAGAAGGTGGATAGATTCCGTGGATCTGCTGCGGATGCTGCTGATATTGCTGTTGTTGTTGTTGCTGCTGCTGCTGTTGCTGTAGTGGTGATGGTTGCTGCTGGTGAACCTGACCCAAAGGCACCTCGCCATGCTGAGGGCTCATAGTTGACTGACGTCGAAGACGATCAAACAAACCCTCAAAACTTTCTGAAGACGACATGTTATTGCTCATTTTAAGTTACTGATTGCTTATTATAATATTCCGAGAATATTTAGCGATAAAAGCGAAAACGAAATTGGTTTTGCAGGGGTAGTTTAAAAAAAGAGGCTAAAGAAGGATCCAAAGCGATGAGAAAGCGTAGAAAAGTGGTGGGGGGGGGGGGGGGGGGGGGCGTTTGGAGGTTTTAATGATGATGGTGATGATGGATGATGAAGTTAGATGGGGAGGGTGGGTGAGATGAGAGTGATGAATGGATGAAACGGCGGGAAGGCCGTGGTGTGCTGGCTAGGGTGTGCTTCTGTGCAGCAGGAGAAGAGAAGGAAGGGTAGAACAGGAATCGAGGGTGCAAGTCAGTAAGGTAGGTAAACTTTACAGCAAACGTTTTTGGCTGTGTGATGTGGTTGAAATGGTAGGCCTGGCTGTCGAAATCTTGGCAGATGCAGTGGTTCCATACAGTCATTGCGTGTGTGGTGTGTGCACGATATTATGCTTGCTACATCTCTACTATTACTGCCGGGTGTTGCAGTGGCAATAACCAACCGCAGCACCCCATATTCCATCGGAAAAGTAAACCTTGTAGGCACGCATTATTATCAATCTGAGTCCAGGGTCTAGGTAGCAGCTCTAGATACATGTACCGCAGCAGCTATGTCCTACTCTAGAGTACATGGGTGGTGCCTAAATAACACAAAGACCTTGTTATTATTGAGTCTGCGCATGCTCATTTTACAGTCAAGCTGGTTACTGAGCTTTCCCAACGGTGGATAATTCATGGTTAAGCGCGAAACTGCCCAAATCAAACACCAAAAATCTTTCTGGAAGAGAGCCAGCCTCTAGATCTCCCACATTCTACATATCAACCCCTCCACCTCGACTGGTGGTGATTCGACCAGCTTGTGAACGCTCTTCCATAGAAACAGACAACCAGACAGGCCTATCACAGGAGGCCTCGGCAGTCGTTTATCGCCTTCTCTTCTGTGTCGTCTTCGATCGAATCCTTAGTTCCGGCAACTCCCCTGCCTTTCGTTGCCCATACACGATAGACTCACGATCCTGCCCAACAGCCCTCGACTGCAGATCCTGCAACAACGCTTAGACTGGTCGCAAATACATCATATACCGTCGGTCCTAAACACAGAAGCTCTTAACTGAGTCCCCCCTCGGTATCCCGTGCAAAGACAGCTTGCAGACTTTCCATCAGCCCACTGCACACTTTCCGCCGCCCTCGCCGCCATGTTCTGTCTACGCAGGTGAGTTCTAAGGCTTCTCTTTGTCCCCCCCGAGATGTTTGCTAAATCATGTGAATTCATCCATCTGCAGCTGGCTACCCCTCCTGTTTATTCCCACCTCTGCCTCCCCGGCATTCATCGTCCTGTTCCTGATCTCGACATACCTCTTCCACAGACCATGGTAGGCTCCCCCTTATCCCTATTCCCCAAGGCCCACAGGCTAACTCCATCCACCGCAGTGTCTACTGCTCCCTAATAATGCTCACCCTCTTCTCTTCCTCGTGCTACTGGTCTGACCGCTGCTTCCTCGACTCCAACAACGGCCACTGGTTCGAACCCCGTTTCCTCTCCACCGCCGCCGGCACCGTCATGAACGCCGCCGCAGGAGCCGTTGGCAGCAGCGGTGGCGCTGCCATCCAGGCCGGGGCCAGTGCTGGCCAGGTATGGACCGGCATCGGGCTCGACTGGCTCAGGACCGCTGTGGGCAGGAGGGAATGGAGGCTGCCCTGCGTGGATGTCAACATCCGGTTGTGAGTGTTTTCTTTCTTCGTCGGTGGGTCGGTCGCGGTCGCTCTTTAAAATGGGATGGACAGGAATGGGCATTCTCTTGGGTCGGTCATGGTCATGGTTGGTTGGTTAGTGGGGGGGGGAAAGAGTACATAACGGCGTCAATGGGATTGGCTTTTTGTACGGACAGACGAGTGCGGGATATACCCTTTTTCTGCGAAAACGGAGATGTCCTTTCCGGCTGCTTGGGTCTTTTTCATCTTAGTTCTTTTTTTTTCTCCCTCTCTCCATAGTTTTTATCATTTTTACCCTCACTCTGCGAAAAAAAAATCAGCATGCTAGTTAGTTAGCTTTAATGAATTTACCTAGTCACATAGCCATGTTTTAAATTGTGTTTTTCTTCTTCTTTTTACTCTGTTTGTTACTTGGGACGTATAGCCGTAATAATATTGTAGTTTGGACAGAAATCAGGCTTCTGTAAATGGTGTCCTGTGTGGGTGGCCAAGACATGCATGCATGGTGATTTCTCATGATTCTCGGGATTCCAGAAATTGACAGCTACCTACAAGTAGCATCTGCATAGCAAACTTCGGACTACATATCCTCAAACGTTCCCTTCATCGTAATGCCTTTAAACCTTATGTACCTTTCTTCCCATCACATTAAAGTCCCACACCGTTCTGGAGGCAAACTAGATGATTGACACCCGCAGCTGCATCATGTAATATCACTCCAGCTACGGCTATGATTTCATGATGAGGAAATTTAATTTTTAAGCTTAAAGTGCCCGCTCAAATCCACAAAATCTGCATATGCATGAATACTCATAATAAAAAAAAACACCGACCACATCACTAGGATAAAGGTCAATGATAGGTATCAAACAGAGCCCCCTGGAGGGGTACCCCCTCGCCGAAAAGCAAACACCAAGCCTCCCAAACCCAATTACAAAAAGAAGACAAAAAAGAACATCCAAAAAGCTACAAAAAAAAAAAGACACAAAAGCCCCAAATGCTGACTACTTAGTAGATGCGGATGCGGACGCGGACGCGGAGGAGGAGCTCGAAGCTGCCGCTGCCGCAGTCAGCTTCTTCATCCTCTCCTCCGCCGCCCTCGCCATGATCTCCCTCCTGGTCAACTCCTGCCCGACCGGCTTCTCCGCACCCGTCGTCGAGCTCTTCGTAGTCCCGCCACCACCAAGCTTAAATGACCCTCCCTTCCACCCCGCCTCATCCTGCTTCTCCTGCTCCGGCGGGTTATAGAACACCTCATTCGTGAGCGCCCGCCCACCCACCGTCCAGTCGCCCTCTAAACACTCCTTCTCCAACAGATCTGCTTCACTGTCAGCCATCACATCCCGTACCACAAACAACAAGAAAAAGAGTACTACTCACTCGTCAAATTCCAAAAATCCCTATCATGCTCCGAGAACTCGATATGCGCCAACTCATGCATCAGCGTCTTCCTCACCGTCTTGTAGTCCCTCCACCCATCATACCAGTCCGTACGCAGGCGGACCTCGATAACCTCGCCCTTATTCCTATTCAGCCCCAGCGTCTTGCCCTCGTGCGTGGTGTTCCCCGCGGGCTCCATCTCGAGCAGCAGGCCGACAGAGTACTTGTGCTTGCGCATGACGTGCTTCACGCCCGGGTCGTCGCGCAGACGCTCGAGGAACTTGAGCGACGTCTCGTGGTGCGGCAGGTGCTGCAGCGTGCGCAGGTTGGCGAAGCTGTAGAGCGCGGATTCGGTGGCTTTCTTCCAGTCGCGGAAGGGCGTGGGTTTGGCGGGCTTGATGGGGCCGGACATGTTTGTGGTCACTGGGGGAACTGGACTGGCTAGGCTGTGGTGTTGTAGGTATTGTTGAGATGAGGGGGAGGAAATGGGGAGGTGCTGGTTGAATGAGTGCGAGCTGGAGATGGAGGAGGTGTAGGTAAAGAAGGATATTATATTCTGACTTCGCCCCAGCCAGAGGGTTTGATAGAGCTCTCTGTCTAAGCTTCGCCTTCGCCTTCTTTGGGCTTCGCTGCAGCTCCATGTGTCGCTTTACTAATCAGTCAAATTGTCATCATCGATCGGTGCTTTTCCAGCCCGCCGGAGAATCGTTAATCCGGGGCCGGTAGTCAGTGCTTGTCGCCTCTTGTGTGACGGTTTGCGCCACAGGTTTTGTTTGGATACGCATGCTGTGGTTATCACTCGCATTGCCTACAACAACATGTAGTGGGCACTTCACATCGAAAAAAAGTACCCCGCACAGGAAGAAGGAAAGATGGAAAAACGTTGATAAACTATATAACTAAACGGCTGCCCATTACAAGAACCCCCCAGAAATATTCAAATCATTTATAACCCGAAAAGATCTCAGCCCAATTCCTCAAGAACACTCTCAATATCGCTCATCTCGAATGCGTCCAAGCATTTTGTACCCTCACAAACCTGGACTACAGGTTTTCCGCCTTTCCTAGCTGCCCTCTTCAAAAGCGCATCATGCAAAGAGTTTCTCCTGAGTAACCAATCTAGCGAGTCCTTCTTTGCGGGATCAAGCTGTACGATCGTTGTGTTTGTCAATAGCTTCTTTCGCAAATGCTTCAGGTGCGCTGCAAGTGTTGGCTCTTCCGGATTACCAGCAAGAACGACAGAGCGCATGCCCAGATTTGAGGCCACTATCGATGGCATCAATGATGAGAACAGGAACGGATGCTGTAAGAGCTCCGGTGAGAATGCGGAGCATGTCTTCTGGGCGAGCTCTTCAAGACTTGAATCTCCAAGGATTGTAGCTAGGCGGAAAAGGTTGTTTGCAGAGACACCGTTGGTGGATGGCTCTTGGGAATCAAGTCCTTTAGACAAAAATTCCGGGGTTAGAATGGTTCTACATGATAGAGTCTTAGGGTTTAATACCATCTTTAAGTCTCAAAATTAGATCTGATGCATTCTCGCTGGTGGAGAAAAACCCGCCATTTTCAGGGTCCCAGAAAAGGTCAATCTGCTTCTTTTGTAACCTATCTGCCCACTGCAGATAGCTCACGTCAAAGGTTGTCTCGTACCTAACCCAGAAAAAAACGTTAAGAAAGTGTTCCACACATAAAACATCGGGGGGCGCTCTGGCACGTACATATGCAACAATCCGGAAATCAAAAACGCATAATCGTCCGCGAATCCTGGTGTTTCTCCCGGGCCTTCTCTGTAGACTCTTTTCAGGATACCAGTCTTCTCATCGTAGAGGTTTTTCCTGATGAATGCAACTGTCTCTTCGGCATTCTTAAGACAAGTCTTAGCCCGTGCCGGGTCGACTTCAGCCAAAGTGGCAGCGGCCTTGGCAAGCCCAACAATTGCCAGTCCGTTCCAGCTTGTGATGATCTTGTCATCTAGGTTGGGTCTTGACCTTTCTTTCAAACGGTGTTCCAATAGCCTCTTGCGGGAGGTGCTAATTATGCCACTTATCTTCTCGGGACCCATCCCGTACATCTGGCTGAGCTTCTCCACGTTCGAAACAACGGACAAAACGTTTTGGGCAATAAACTCATCATGTGGATCTTGCTCAGGGTCAACGTTTCCATCACGATGGACGTTCCAGTACTTGGCGCATATAGAGGCTTCTTGCTCTCCAAGGATCGTATCGAACTCTTTCCTTGTCCAGACGTAGAATGCTCCCTCTGAAACCAGCTATTAGAAAACCTTCGTAGATTATTTCTCGAGGGGAAATGCCAACCTCTCTTCTCTGTATCTGTTTTCCTATAAAGAGAGTCCGCATCCTCCGAAGAGAAGAAACCTCCCCCGGGATTCTTTAACGCGTCTGAACAGATGTAATCCGTAATATCCTTGGCAGCATCAAGCAGCTTTTCAGAACTGGTTACCAACCAGGCATCAAGATAAATACTCAGAAGCTGTGCTTGGTCATAAAGCATCTTCTCAAAGTGGGGTAAACTCCAGTTCTCAGTCACAGAATATCTGGAGAATCCATGACCAATATGATCGTGGATACCCCCGCTCGCCATTTTCTTTACAGTGTCAATATATATACTTGCCAATCATAGTAGGATGTAAAACAAACCTCAAGAGTTGCTATCACCATGGACTTTGCGTTGCGACACTCCATTTCACCAACGATGTCTTGCACTGTAGCTGGGAATGTACCCAACCGTAGAAGGAAAGCTAGGTTGACGGGAGTAGGGAACTTGGGAGCACTCCCGAACCCACCATTTACTGGGTCATAGCGGGCCATAAAGTGTTGATAAGACTCTTCCAGCAGGTCCAATTCAAGACCCTCGCCCTCGCCACCTTTCAAACCTTCGTCTGTGAAGTCTTTCAATTGCTTCATGATGTCACTTGCAGACATCAGGCACTTCTGCTGCTGTTCTTTCCAAACCTTCACGATCTTCTCCAGAACCTCTAGGAAGCCAATTTGTTCCCCTACTGCGCCCCCAGCGCGTGGGCCTGGCCAGTATGTTCCGCCGAAGACGGGCTGTAGATCTGGGGTGAGGAAGACATTGAGTGGCCACCCGCTACAAAGAAATTAGTATCGTAAGCTAGGAGTATATACTCAGGCACAATACTAACCCAGAGCCTGTGGTAGCTTGTACCTGTTCCCAAAGTTAGCAGAAATCCTGTAACTTCTATGACGGGAATATCACATACAAAGTTCATGTAGATACGATCAATATCTGGCCTCTCTTCTCTGCATATTCGGTCAGATATTATTCACTATTCATTTTTTTTTGGAACAATGAGCTTTTACCGGTCGATCTTAATCGGGATAAAATGCTCGTTAAGGACACGGGCGACCTCTTCGTTCTCGAAGCTCTCACGTTCCATAACCTAGTTCAAAAAAAGGTTACTTTATAGGTTCTGGGAAAATTATTTGATTTATTATAATGGCAGCTTTGCTTACATGGCACCCTAATGTTTGTCAAGTGTTCACCTCTTGTCAGCTTGTCTCTTTCTTTCTTTCTTGGAGCCATGCTTTATTTATTTTTTTTGGTCGTATGGCTTTTTGTTGCTCTTCCGTATCTGATACTCACAGTGACAAGCTGCATACCCAATACTGACAAACACTATTCTGTTGTGTTTCTTCGCAAGGGCCAGCGTTTCTTCTGTCCATAGCTGCCAGTGAACCGGATTGTTCACATGACCACGGACCTACTCCCCTATTAGCTTTCTTGCATCCGGCAAAGACGCGTGAAAGAGGTTCGAAAAAGTTACATAGGGACTACGACTCTCTGCGAGCTGGTTCAACTTGAGCACAAATCGATCCTTGTCGACCGGTGACGAATGCTGATCCACTGCTGCTGCTGCTGCTGCTGCTGCTCCCTTTGCTCCAGCTCCTTGTTGGCCATTAGCGCTTGAAATGGGGGTTGGAAGAGCTACGGCTTTGGTTTTGCCTGTTGACGCCATTTTTGGGGAGACCCAAATAGAGATTGGGGGGGGGGGAAGGTGGGGTGGTGGAAATAGATGAGGTCGTTAAGGAAATACAAAAGAGTAAAAAAAAAAAAAAAGATGTTCAAGTTACGTGTGTGGTGGTGGTGGCGATAAGGAAAGGATAAGCACTTTAGCGTGTCTGGTAGCGAGATCCCAGTAGGAAAAATACCCCGCCAGAGATGTGGTCAGGGGTGGTTTGGGAGGGGGGTGGAGGGGTGGAGGGGTGGTTTAATATGGACTTTGACGAGATGAAGTATGAAGCTCTCTTTTATTTCGACAGGGAAGCAAAAAGCAAGAGGTTCTAGAAGAAAATGTGAGGCTGAACTTTCTTTCTTTTGTTTCTTTTGCTCTACTTCAGGGCTTTGCTAAGCCGCGCAGTGCAGCTTGTTGGGCTGCGGCCCAGGTATCGAAACAGTCTGCCAGATTGCTAGCTGCACATGAAAGACGTCGCCAGGTTGTGGTCTTGCATAATCAACACACACATCGGACGAGTGTAACCTTTCACAACGCACATAGGAGGTGCTTAAGACACCCCATTCTCATAACCCGGTACGATTTTAAACACCTGCAAAGTGTAGCTATCTACCTATATTGAATTTTAAAGCGTAGGCATTGGAGTGGGGGAAACCGTCTTTCTGTGTTCCTTTGATACCTTTAGCAATTCGGAACCACACACGTCATAGATCACCGTAGTGCTGTTTAGGCTCGAAACCTTACTATCGCGCATTCTTAACAATGCTCCTTAAGTCACTCGAGCATCAGTTGAGATTTGAACCCACTATCGAGAAACCGTTGCATGATACTCTATCTTCCCCAGCTAGTGAAACCACAACTAATAGACCTAATTGAAAGCGTTGGGGAAGAAGTGCTAGATAACAAAAGCTAAGCTGCTCATGTCCATTCGCTCCTACTCCCGTCAACGCTCTCCCGCCCGCTCCCATTTCGCTTGCATGATCATGAAGAAGCCGGGGCCAAGATTGCTGCTCTGTGCATGAGCCTAGATAAACCACTGTCTACATGTATCGCTATCGCCGCAGATCTTCCGTAGATAGTCTCATGCCAATCTCAGCCCTAACCCGGAAAGCCCCCTCTCTACGTCTACCCACTCTACTGCATCCCGCCAATGGTCCCTAAATCTACTGGTCTACTCTACACGCACGTCAATAGGTCACTCCTCCCATCTCCGGAGTCTCTTTCATCCCACGATTTCCTCGGGGCGCCTCAAAGATCCTCATTGCTCCTCCTCCGAGTACCTCTTAACACCTCATACAGGACTTTAACCCTCCATATAGTCTCGTGCCCAGCACAACGCAGTGCGACAACAAAACAGTCTGGGAACGAGACTACCCTCCATACATGTAGCTACCGGGGTAATACCACCATACCCCGAGTGATCCCCCATGCTCCACACCAGCCAGCCACCAACCACTCCGCACTGCTTCAACTAATCCAATCCAATCCAATTGGCCAACCCTAGACGACTTCCCTAGATAGCCACTCGAACAACCGCTCGAGCATTTAACGCAAAAAAGAAAGGATCTTCGTTATACCGTTATTTCACCGGTGTTCGAGGTGAGTGGGGCTAGGGAAGTCGTCTACATACATGCAACATCCAGAACAGGGAACTCAATCGCACTCTACTTATCTACATACAAACCCCTTTCACCAGTAAAGCGCAGTACATGGAACACGTGCGGCTACATGTACCTATAGTACTCTACCTACTGCATCAGTCAGTCCGGCAAAGACATTAAGACTCGGTTTTATAGAGGTGCAGTCTCGGACCTCGGCTCCTCCTGGTCTACTCTAGCTAGCGGCCTCCCCACGGCCCCGCGTAGGATTGAAACCCATGCCTCCCCGCTTCTGGGGGTTACCAGCTGCTATGCTCCCAGACAGAGGAGAAACCCGTGGGTTTATACGACTACAAAACCACAATAACCACCAATACCACCCAGGCGCATAAAGTAGAGTATATGCATCAAGATATATATATAACCTAAAAAAACAACAAGATTCTAGATATATCGCACGCACTGAGAGAATGAGAGATACAAAAATGGAAAGACATAAAATACTGTTACAAAATCATTTTCTCCTTTTTGTGGTCCTTGGTCGATCATGCATTCTCACTCGATAGACACCGCCGGTGTTGGCACTTGTCCTTACCCTTGCCCTTGCCCTTTATCACCATAAGGGGAGATGGGGGGGGGGGGGCGTGTGTCTATCTCGGAATATCTGGGGAGGAGGGGGCCTATTTGGCCTTGAGCTTTAGCTGCGCCCGCCTGTTTGCCAGCGCGGTCTGCGTGGCCATAAACAGCGCATCCTTAAACGCGAACAGGAACGCCGCTGTGAGCACACTCTGCACCAACTTCGGCCCAATCCCTACATCACCTCACAGTCAGCCAACACATCTCTTCCACCCTCCTACCCATGGGCTAACTCACCATTATACAACCCCGTCCACCCCTCCTCCCTCACAATACCCCTAATCCCACCCAACAACCCACCCGCCTTCTTCTCCCCCTTCGCCGCCACATGCAGCCTGCTCTTGACCGTGATATACGGATACGTCAGCGCCGTCGCCACCAGCTTCCCCAGCGCCCCAAGCACAAATGCGTCCTGCGGCGTCACACTCCGCTTGCGCCGCCGCTCAAGAACATTCTTGAGCTGCTCAAAGATGGTGTACTGCAGGATGGGGTTCATGACGAGCACCAGCGCCGGCAGCACGCCCTTGAAGAAGGCGCCGATGCCGCCCTCGCGGTACAGGTCTTTGATTGTGCCGAGCGTGCTCGGCGCCCTTGCGGGTGCGCTTGCGGCGCCCGTGGGGTCTTGGAGTGTGGGGAGGGCGCTGCTGCTGCTGCTGGTGGTGGAGGCGGTGCTGCTGCTGCTGCTGCTGGAGGTGGAGGTGGTGGAGGAGATGCTGGGGGAGCGCTTGCGCGCTGTCATGCGTGTGTTGACGACCCAGATGGGGTTGGTCAGGAGGACGGTGGCGGAGCCGGCGAGCGCGCCGGCCATCATGGATTCGAGGGTGGAGAGCTTGTTGCGGCGGGGGGATTTGGCGGCTAGGGCGGCCTTCTCGAAGGCTGAGCGTGACCATTCGTACCCTGTGGATTTGTTAGTGGGCGGGAGAGAGAGAGAGGGAGGGGGGGAAGAGGGGGGGGGGGGGGGGGGAGACAGTAGTAGTAGACAAAGTTTGTGACGGAGATGCCAAAGACGGCGCTGTCGAGGCCGGCGTAGAGGCCCGAGATGCCTTCGCGCTGGATGATGCGGCGGACGGCGTCGGGGACGGAGGACTGGGCGCGCTTGGACTCGACCTGGGAGCGGGTGGAGAGGGTGATTAGTGGGTAGGTGAGGACCATGGAGAGAACTCCGCCGCCTGTACGTTTTGTTTGACCGTCAGTATTCTGGCCATTGATGTAGTGGTAGAGAGAGAGAGAGAGCTAGAGAGGTGAAGCTAAGGAGAAGAGAAGGAGGGGGTGTATGTACCAGCGCCTGCGACGGCGTGAAGAACCTAGAGGAGTGTCAGTATGCGTTTTGCGGGGGTGGGAGGTCTGGTAGTTTGACAGCGGGTGGGTGCATACATTATCGTTTGTGGACATTGCGGACTATATACGCTGTGTATCAAAAAGCAGAGCAGTACAATAACGAGAGCAGCAGTTACAGGACGGCGGTGGAGGTAGAAGTGTTATGAGGGCCTGGAGATAGTAAAGGCGGAGAGAGGGTCGCCAGCACACCGTACATGTAATAAAGAGAGAGAGAGAGAGAGAGAGATGCTCGGGGAGAGAGGGTTGTAGGTTGTGGGTTGAGGGTTGAGATCCTACACTTCCCCGTGCCTGTCTGTCTGTCTGCGGTGTCTCTTTCGTAGCTTGTGATCGCGCTGAGCACCGAGAAGGCGTGGCGCTAGGCCGGGGTGGGACAGCCGAGGTTGCGGGGAGACGACGTTGCTGTGTGGGGTTTGTGTCTCTGCATATGCAGAGGGGAGCTTTGGGGATAGAGCTCTCGTTACGTCTGTGGAGGTAGGGTACATGGTTCTGACATTCTCTCAATTGATCAAGCTGAGGGTTACTCTAAAGCACATGTAGTCTACAGCCATTACCGAATTTTGAAGAACCACATAGCATTGCCAGTAATGACAGAAGGCACGATCTCTTCGAGCCGTCTTTGACAGCTGTAGATTAATGCTGTGCAGCTTAGGCCTAGCTAGAGTAGAGCATAGTGCTCAAAAGGCCCTAAAGTACATGTAATCATTGCATGCGTCCAAAAGCCGGGGTCCAGAAACTCTGGGAGACAGGCATACATGTAGGGAAAGGCTACGCTATACAAACAGAAACCGCCAAAAGAAACCGGTAATGGAAAGCGGGTCTCTGGCTCACCAGAAGGACGAATTGTAAGGACGTTCACTTCGCAGTGAATTGTAAACAACTAAGCTCTGCGCTTGGACTTACAGACTGAAGGCCCAGAAGATCAAGACCATTAGCTGATCATGATTTGACTCGAGACCAGGGTTAGGGATGATGATATTTCTCTGCTCACAGGGTCTGACTCGGGGCTAGGGTTAGGGATAATACCATTGACAACAACAGTTCTTTACTTTGTATGATATTCTGACTTCTCACAAAGCCTTTGCAGCTAGTATGATACTGTAGATACGTGATAGCTATTCTCCTAGAAGCTACAATAGTCCGTCGGTGAGGCTTTCAATAATTGGTGTGCACTTTGCCATAATGTGGTCTTACATTCTCTACACTGACAAAACAACTCAAAAATGCAGTTCCTCAAAAACACAGTTTTGCGGGGTCCGGATGATGTGTAAGAACACAAAAGTTGGCGTATAACGTTTTCGACCCAGTACTGTGTCAGACCTAGAAGTGTGTCGCATGGCAACGGCACCAAAACCAGACACAAGACCCCATAACACCATAATAGAGGATAATCCATCTGGAAACCATCCTAATCCATGTGCTTTTAAATGGAAT